GTGGCACAAAGGTGCGTCAGCTGGCAGCGAGGTGGCTGCTTGGAGTTTTGGGGAAACTTGGTTTTGTTTTTTGGGTTGAAACATTCTTTTTCCGGTTGGAGTCGAGATCTCAGTTGCTGTTCAGGGTTCCAGGACGGTTCACTTGTTGGCATTGGGAGGCTTCAGGAAACACAATTTCTATTTATTAACTAAAGGATTTTGAATGAAACCCATGCATCATTGTAACCACGTATAGTCATATAAATAATTCACTAAGCCCAGAGAAAAAATACAGCGACTTACTTTATGTTCCACATATATAATTATATCTCTGCGATTTATCTTGAACATAGCTATGTACGTTCTGTTCTGCAAACATGTTCATGTACCCAGCATGCATTGTTCACATCCCAAATGCCCACCCGAGCAAAAAGCGTTAATCCATTTTCATGGTTAGGTAGGCCGATTTTAAAACTCCAAGGGCCTCAAAGTCAGGATCCCAGATCATTTGCCATGGGGGCTGGCACAGGTTAAGTTTCACATTGGGAAATGAACATGCAGCAGGGAATCATGGGTAGTCATGCATCACCAGATTTATGGATTTCCGCCGAAAAAAATCCAGGATCAGCAGAACTCAGGCGCACATTTTGTGATGTTGAGTTCCGCCGAAAATATTTGTTCAGCAGAAATCCTAGGGAAAACCATTGAATCAGCAGAAGTCCACTACACAAAGCCAGAAGATGAGTTCCGCCGAACCATAGGTCTGAATACTAAGTTCCGCCGAGAATTTTTTGTTCAGCAGAAGTCAGGTACATAATTTATGTAATGGAGTTCCGCTGAGAAAAAACTAAAGTCCGCATTTTCTTGCAATCGATTCGGGGTCACAGGATCCCAATTTTCCGCCGATTTTTTTTCAGCAGATCTTGCAACGGAAAAAAGGTCCACAAAGTCCGCAGAGATTTGTTTGGCAACTTAATCTGAGACTTCAATGCAAAGTTCTGAGCTCCTACCCTTATTGGGCATGGGTGGCACATGTGATCGGGAGGAAACCTGGGTAACCCTTGGAAGATCGTGTGGACTTGGTGATGGGCAATATAACCACATCACATTACCATGGTCTGGCCCCATGCTTTTTGAAAGCTCTAATTGACAGAGGGTTTAATTTAAGTATTCCCTTCCCCGGCCCCCTAATTAATGCTCAAATCCACCCAAATAGTCAAAAGCATTTTAAAGCATGTTTTAAAAAATGTTAAGAAAAAATGTAATTATAGTACAAGTGCGACATTTGTTATACAGGAGATGTCCGCGCACACCCGGACCTGGAATTTGAAAGCAGCACTTGGACCAAAACCATGCAAAGTTAATCAACAATATCGACATACGAACGTAAATCAACATGTGCTCGCCGAAGAGGTTCCTAAAAATACTAATAAGGATCAGCATTTTCACTAAGAGGTCAATTGTCCAATCATGTCCAATCTGTAGCGTCGCCCCAATACAAACATCAAGTAAAATGCGCTTGGCGAAGAAGTTCCCTGATAAGCGCCTTTCTTTGAAATTATATTCAACCAAGGTCAAGGACAATTGCCTGAAGAGACACCCTAATCAGGACCAAAGTATCTACTAAAAACTTTACATATATGATTCACATTCATTTTGTATCAACCGAATCCAAGCCTCAAACACATTGCATCTTTTATTGTTGAGGTCCAAGGCCACCATTCAATCCAGTTCGCCATTTAAGGTCAGTAGTAAAGTTGGAAACAAATATATTGAAATAATAAGGGAAAAACTTGAAAATTGTGACAACAACTGCTGGCAAATAGTTTCTATTAATTTCAGGAAACAGGGGTGAAAGGGAATTATCCATTAAATCAAACTTAAATTTGGATGATCTATGACCCATGATCTAGATCCTGAGACCACAATTCGCATGCAAAAGTTTTATAATATAATATATCACAATACAATACAATAAAATAAAATAAAAATTAAAAAAATATAATATAATACAAAATAATATAATTTAATATAATACAAATACTTCTATATGTATATATATATATTATATATATATTATATGTATTATATATATATATATTATATATATATTATATAATATATACATATATATATATACATAATATATTATATATTACATATATATATATATATATATTTAATATATTATTTATTTTGTTGTATATATTATAAACACTATATATTATTTATATTTTTTTTATAATTATATAGATATTGCCGAAGGAAATTTAGAAGTCAAACTTCCGACAATATGGACAGATGAAAAGCAGAGATGGGAAGAGTCAGAGAAGAGAAGAGAAGAACAAAAAGAAAGAGTCAGAAGAAAGAAGATGCAGATGCACGAAAAGGTAGGAAAGCCGCGAAACACTGTGTTTTTCCAATGATTTGTGGCTCTGGAGGGTTGAAAAGTAGGCTCGCTAAAGCGGCGGGTGCGGAGCCAGCTGGCCAGATGAGAGATGAAAAATTCACGCCGTTGCGGCGTGAAGCACATTTCGAAGTCAAAATGCACAAAACACACCAGGTCTGGACCACTTTTGGCAGTTGAGATGTTGAAAAAGTGCACGGGCGCGAAGCACATTTCGAAGTCAAAATGAACAAAACACACCATTGTCGGAGCACTTTTGGAAGTTGAGATGTCGAAAAAGTGCACGCCGTTGTGGCGTGAAGCACATTTCGAAGTCAAAATGCACAAAACACACCAAGTCTGGACCACTTTTGGAAGTTGAAATTTCGAAAAAGTGCACGCCATTGTGGCGCGAAGCACATTTCGGTCAAAATATATGTTAAAAGCACACCAGGTCTGGACCACTTTTGGAAGTTGAGATTTCGAAAAAGTGCACGCCGTTGTGGCGCGAAGCACATTTCGGTCAAAATGTTAAAAACACGAGGGGTTCGGACCACTTTTGGAGGTTCAGATGTCGTTTCGCGTGGCAGGCGCAAGGGATTGTGAACCTTGTCAAAAGTGAGCAAAACGTGAGGGCTTTGTAGCATTTCCAAAAACGATGGCATTGAAACATGGTCATCAGAGCTGTTAGGAGGTCCGGGCGCTGATTTCCTGAGAGAGGTTGCACTTTGGAGCATCAGATCTTCAGGTTTGCTGAGATGATTTTGCGTGACAGGTGCAGCACTTCGTATGACCTGGCATCACTTTTTCGTGGCAGGCACAGTACTTTAGACAGGTGGACTCGAAAAATCGCAAAACGCAATGGTACGAGGCCGTCAGCTCTGCACTCAACTTTGCATTTTTGAAGGAAGTCTCGCAGAATTCTTTCGAAGTCTTGCAGAATTGTTGCGTTTTTGATGTTGTCAAATTTAAAAATTGAGGAAGTCTCGCAGAATAGCTTCGTTTTCAAGCTTGCAGGTAGACAGATCGATAGATGGACAGCTACAACTGCAACTACAACAACAAGTACCACTACACTCTACTACTACAACTGCAAGTACAAATATACTAACTCTAAATTACACAACACTAATTACACTACACTACGCTAATTACATCTAATTCCCTCTAATTACACTACACTACAACAACTACTTACACTACACTACAACAACTACTTACACTACACTACAACAGCTACTACTACGACGACGGCGACGACGACGACGACTACTACTACTACTACTACTAGTACTACCACCAGCACCACCACCACCACGACCACCACCACCACCACCACCACGACTACTACTACTACTACTACCACCACTACTACTACCACCACCACCGCCACCACCACAGCTACAACTACAATGCCAGCTACACTACATTACACTACAATACACTGATTAAACTGCAGTGCATCACAGCTACACAAATACAAATACAACTACAACTACACTACGTTACACAACGCTACACTACACTTTTGATTACATTACATCACACTACATTGCATTACACGACGCCACACAACAAGTACAACTACACTACTTTACACTACAATACACAAGGCTACACTACACTATACCACGCTACAGTACACAACACTACAGTACACCACAATACACTACAGTAATTACACCACACCACAACTACAACTGCAACTGCAACTACACTACACTAATTACACGACATTACAACTACAACTTACAACTTACAACTACAACTCCACTACACTACAACTACAACTACAGCTACACCGACAACTACAACTACAACTGCGCTACGCCGCACTACATCCAGCAGTTGTGGTGAGGTGACCACTGCAACCATTGCAACCACTCCAGAAAACACAGCTCCAACCACCTTTCGGTTCATAGTGGATTCGCTCTGCCATCCGTGAGTCACAACAGCCAACCTCTCCTATAGGTTTCTTATTTTTGAAACTTCCGCCACCGCCTTGTGCGGTACTGGTATATACTAACTATATCCTGCGGCCTCCAACAGGCAGAAATTTGGGGCTGAATTGGAATAGTAGCCTTTTCTGTGATCGGGCTGAAAAATAGCCTGACTGCCAATTCGGGCAAGAAATGCTATTCGGGCAAGAATTGCAATTTGACAAAGTAGGTCTAAAGACACCTTCCCTGAACAATCAGGGCTTAATTTTCTCTTGCATGTGCAGTTCATACAAGTTTTGAAAATTTGTGTCAACACAAGTCGGGCGAGAATACCCGGAAAACAGGCGGGAATACCCGGGAAACAGGCGAGAATTCGCGAGGAAATGTTTTATCTAATTACTGGCCATAGTTTGTTTTTTGCGGACTCGTCTGTCCAGGAATGGCGAAGCAGAAATGCGAAACAGTGAATCAAAACAAAAACGCACAAATTTTCCTACAGGCAAGGATTTAGGTTCAGGCGGGATTTCCAGGGTCATGCAGAAAAACAGGTCAAAACACACTGCTCAAATTTTAGCATGCGGTGGCTATAGGTATATAATACATATTCCATGTATAGATATTTATAGCACCAAACTCTCCAGAATATTCCACGGGATCCACTTGCCATCCCCAAACACTGTACCGGGTGTCGAGGCCTCGGGACTTGCGCCAGAGGCCCAGCAGTGAATTCAGCAGCGGCAGTAGCAGCTCGTAGCGGACCAGCAAAAAAACAACGCAGGCCTTGGGTTTTGGGAGTTTTTCGGATGGCTTTCAAAGGTCAATTTGGAGGAATTTTCGGGAACACCCTCGGTTTTTTCATGGGAAAACCCAACGTATCTTGATGTTTTTGGATGGATTTAAGGGGTAAATTCTTACAGGAAAGCCCCCGTATTTTGCAGAAATCGCAACCAGAAAAACCCAGATGTTTCCGTTCCCAGACTTCGTTACTGACGGTGAGTTCTTGGTGCCTCATCCCAAAGTAGGTGAGTTTACCCTAGTGGATGAAGCCTACTCATCCCAGAAACCAGGGATATTCCACCTAGGATTCGTGGGATACAGCATGATTCAGCTACGTTTTTACATGGGTGATTTTTACATGAGTAAATGTTGATACATTCCTGGAATACGTGAGTTGAGCATTGGAAATGGTCAACTAGTTGACGACTCGTTCAGAAGGGTGAGTTGACGACTGGGAAATTCCAGGGGAACTCAACGGAATAACGGGATATACCCTCTGGTAATTTAACATAGCTATTGAAAATGACCATTTATAGTGGATTTTCCCATTAAAAATTGTGATTTTCCATATATAGTTATGTTAGTTTACCAGAGGGTATATGGATGAGTTGAGTTTGGAAGACAAGATTCTCGTTGATTAGTAACCCTTTGAGGGGGATAATCATAAGATAATGGGAATCCACAGTCCATAGTTGGAAATTTTGCTGGAATTCTCAATTAACATTGAATAGATTCTAATGGGACATTGTGTGAAATACAATGAGAAACCATGATTTAATGGTGATTTAATGGGAAATAATTTGAAATTAACGGGATAAGAATGGGATACGGGATAGTGTGATAACACACCAATGGAGTGATCTGTGATATACAATATCCTTATATCTTATTTTATGTAATAGGATGATTCAGTAATTGATGTTATAAATCCATTTGTCTGACAATTCTGGGAAACAAAAAAACGCGGTTCATCATCATATTTCCTGCACAAAAATAGCAATTTGGGATCATTTAGTCATTTGGGGGTTCACCCCACTTCCAAAGAAGCCAGGTACTGAAAGGGGTGGTGCAATTCAAGGTCATTTTGGGTTATATCCCAATTGGGGTAAAATCAAGTAAAATCATGATTCACCTAGTATGTGCCACAAAACTAGCCAGTTACTAGTTATGCGACTAACTTAGTGTCTATGGGTTGTAACCGTTTATATAACCGGGATGTAGTGGGATTTAAATCAGCATTTCCCCCCATAAGACATTGCACGTTGCGGGTAAATCCCCTGCAATGTGTCAGGGGCTGATGTAGGGGGATGCAAGTCTGGATGGATTCCGGGGGGGCTTCTTCGAAGCTGAAAAGATGAATTTTGCCACTTAGAAGCTCTTAGAAGCAGAAGGGTTCTAAGAAGCTAAACATACAATTTAAATCAAAAAGAAAACTTATCTTCTAAGAAGGCCTCTACTTCTAAGAGGCTGCTTCTAAGAAGCAAAACCCTTCTAAGAAGCCCATGCAGCTTCTAAGTGCTTCCGCGAAGCAAAAAACGCATCCATCCCGCGTTCCCACCAGAACTGCGTCCCCTTAGATTGGGCCCTCAATGTGGCCCCAGGTATAGGCTTCTGTTGTTGTATACTTACTAATGTAAAGTGAGGATTAATAATCCCCCCGGATTAATCAACCACCATTGCCCCAAAAAAAATTGTAATTTAAAAACAGGTGGTCCCCCCAGATTAATAAACCGGTGGGCCTACCCCCGAGTAATCAACCACCACTTCGGAAATCCATTTTTTTTATCTAAAATCTTTCCCCATAGGAATCTCTTGGTTTACCCAAACAGGAATGCTGAAAAAGAGCCAAAATGGCTGCGGGTTCGGAAATCCATTTTTTTTATCTAAAATCTTTCCCCATAGGAATCTGTTGGTTTACCCAACCAGGGGTGCTGAAAAAGAGCCAAAATGGCTGCGGCTTCGGAAATCCATTTTTTTTATCTAAAATCGCAAATCTTATGAAATCCAACGGGATCTGATGAGATTTATGAGATTTTAAGTATCAAATCTTATGAAATCCAATGGGGTCTGATGAAATCCAATGGAATTCTATGATGATCTTATTGACTCAAGCCATATCCAAATGTTTATGGTTCAGAGTTGCTTATTATTAAGGGGTGGTCAAGAAAACCAGTCAGAAGGTACCCCCCTACCTTCTGGGGGGGGGGGTTATTAATCCGGTGTTGGCATTATATACATTAACAAACAGTATGACCTCAGCAACTATGGCCTGCAAAACAGTCATGCTATGACCATGCCATGCAGTCATCAAAGTTATGGACCTGTGGTCACCTCAGTGTGCTGCCCAGGCTCCACGTTTAGCACAAAGCTGCACCAGTGCGCCACTAGCGCCACAAACATGGCCAGTTGCTGAGGACTAAAAAAACCACTTGGCGATGACATGACGATGACATCGCACTGACGTGTTTTCAAACAAAAATGGCGACCTGGCTACCTGTCAAACATGTTCTCTAAGAAAAATCGATCTCTCAACATGAATGTCTGGATACTAAAGACATCTAAAGACTATGTAGTACAATGATGTCTGGTTACGCTTTGACCCTAAAAAAAAGAAGCCATCAGAATGGCGGCTGCGGATCTCCTGGAGACTACCGGGAACCGGGGCTGAAACATCAAGAAGTTCGGACAACTGTTGATACACTACAGGATGGTGCCCCCCAGCTATAAGTTGGTTTATAATCCGTTATAAACCCCAACAACTATAGTTATATCTACATATATCTACCATAAACCATAGTTGAGTCACTTCTACGGCAACTCAGCTATCTTGGGGGCCCCATCCTGTAGGCATGTCACGAGAAAATTGAACTTTCAGCTTAAACCGTCTTGCTTCAGGGAAGAACACCATGGACATGTTTGCAAACTTATGATACCTCCAAGCAACTTGGAGGCAGAATTCGATGAGCAGGAACACGTATTATGCCACCAAGAGAATGATGAGCACGAGTCAGGATCACGATCATGTGTTCATGATCATCATCATCATCATCATCGTCATCATCATCATCATCATAATGATCCTCATCAATTGATAATGGCTGTCATTATTGGAATCAACGATATCCACTGCGATCCCAATGATTCTTAGTATTTCTTAGTGGTTATACGATCCTCATCATCATCCACCAAGAAACAGAAGTGACTCCTATTTGCTCGGCCGGCCCGTGTTGGGCGGGAAGTTTGACGCCACATGTGCTGCAACTTTGGTGGCATATGTACATTTAAGTGACACTCGTGTGCGGCTTCACACAAGTCTAAGCAGCAATTTTCGTGAGACTTTGACGGCGGCTGGAACTGGTTTTAGGCGTGTTTTCCCATTTTTTGGCAACCAAAAACCGAACAAAGGAGGCCTAGCATGTATGAAGCTTTACCCAATTTTGGAATATATATATATATATGTATATAAATATTTATTTTTGCAGGATATAAGATGTATACCACTGTACCACCTCAATACGTATATTATATATATATATAAAGAATCATAGATTCCTCATATGTTGAGAAGTAAATGTCCACATCATCACATCTTTCTGGGTAAAGAGGGTTTGGTAATTGTTTTTCTTTCGTGAATTTGACCATCAGCAATGTGGATTTTGGAGATGATATCATCTGGTAAACTAACTTAGAAAAATGGAACATGTTCACTTGTAGATGATTTACCTATTAGAAATACTTAGGAACTGTGATCTTCCATAGTTATGTTAGTTTACCAATCCGGCTATCCGACTTGCTCATCACCATCCCGTCTTTCTATGCAGAGATGAGTCTGGCCACATGATTCCGGCCATGGCTCCACTAGTGGGGACACGCTCCAAGCATCCCTCTGGGTGTCTATTACCCGGCCTCGTAATTTGAGTGACATAGCGAACTGGAAGCCATCGCCCTAGAAATAGTGCGTTTTTCCATTCATAGCATGGTGGATCTTTCCACAGTTATGTAAACGTGCAAACCAGAGGGTATATCCCAGAATAGCCCCATGATGCTGCTATTACACCCCGGTGTTTTCTTGGTTATGAATCCCGCAATCAATATTCAAGCTGATTTCCGAATTTGTCTAAACATTGCCACTTTCCCATGATTGCTACTTTTACACATATGTATAATCACATTCAAATATTCATTATGATATCCCATTGATATATCAATATCTATGTTCATATCCCAATGGAAAGACTCGAAAATCAATGAAGCCAACCCATATTATGTTAATTGTTTTTGTTACTAGAAATAAGTAACACCATCAAGAGTACTGAACTACTGAACATGCTAGTTTCGAGAACAAATCACAATTCCTAAATAATCGTAATCCTAAAATGTTTATATAATGTGTACATATATATATGTATGTGTGTGTATCTTGGTGAAACAGCCATAACAATAATATGTGTTGTTTACTGATCTCAATTAATTATCTAATAACAATCTTAAGAGGTAGCATCTGTTTATCTGTTTAAATTTTTGGTTGTCGGTTAAACAACAATATTAGGAATATCCAATTGAGTATCCCCACTTATATATATATATGGCATATATATATATATATGGCATATATACATATATATGGCATATATATATATGCCATATATATATATGGGTTATCATGGGATGATATGGGTTAAGCAACATGGTTTCTGGTTTTTTTCTCCCCAGCATCCCAGTTCTCAACTGCTCTCAGCTGGAGACCAGCCTGGAACGGGTGAGGTCCTGGATCGGACGGACAATTTAGCAGGGAAAATCCATGGGGAAAGTTCATGGGGAAAATCATAAAAACCAATGGGAAAATCCACTCTAAATGGAAGTTTATAGTAGTTTATAGCTGGGAAAATCCATGGAAAGTGAGCCTTTTTGGAGTCTACAAGATGTGGACAAAATCATTGGGAAATATCCTTCGGAACATGATCTATAACTATAGTGGAAACAAATCCACAAACTGCGAATGCTTGCTGGAGAGTATAGACCTGGTTGATTGGTAAAGGATTACAATACCTCCTGGTTTACCGGGAATTATTAATAAACAAATAGTTAAACCATACTTAATAAATTAATTAGTTTGCTATTTACCATTCGTTAACTATATTACTAAACCATTTATTATACCTGGTGATAAGCCCATAGTAGATATTATATGTATCAATAATCAAGAGAATATCGATAGCAATTTCGTCCAAATAAAAGTCCAGGACTTGACATAAAATGAGATGTCATTTATAACTCAGCGGCGCAGGGGTGAATCAGGCCATTGATCTGGATGTATATATATATATATATATATACTGATACTACATATATATATATATATACTTTGCAATCATATTTTAGATGATGTCTAGATGATCTTAGATGATCTTAGATGGTTCTATGGTGTTTCCTCAAAATCAAAGGGGAAAGAGATTGCATGTATATTTACTGTATATAGGATCCACAATGGCCTTAATCATCTCCCTTTGTAATCATTTGGGGATTAATATGTAGATGATTATATATTGCCAAGCCCGTGTTTGGCTTAAGACTGGTGGTGGGGGGGGGGGTGGTGCACGGCAAGGTGCTAAAATTTCAAAAATAGGTGCTCAAATTTAAGGAAATAGGTGTTTTTTTGAAGAAACCGGGTCGGGATCCAGTCGGGACCCAGTCGGGACCCAGTCGGGACCCAGTCGGGACCCAATCGGGCACCAATTTTTGCATTTTTGGGCACCGCTTTTGGCCAGTCGGGATCCAGTCGGGATCCAGTCGGGATCCAGTCGGGCACCAATTTTCGAATTTTTGGCACCACGTTTGGACCTGTCGGGAAGCAGCCAAAATCACCGAAAAACATGCAAAAACACTGCAAAAATGCTATTTTTTATGAATTTGGCTGCCTCCCGACTCCCGACTGGATCCCGACTGGATCCCGACTGGATCCCGACTGGCCAAAAGCGGTGCCCAAAAATGCAAAAATTGGTGCCCGACTGGGTCCCGACGGGATCCTGACTGGATCCATAGATTGGCAAGAACCCACTCCCGCACCTATTTTTCCCTTCCCAGACCCACCCTTGCCCCTATTTTCCTTTTCCGCGCACCAGCCGTGCACCAATACCCCCCCCTCCTGCACCAAAACGGTAAAAGCAGTCTTAAGCCAAACGGGGGTTCTACAAATTATATATATATATATATACATATCATATATATATATATGCATATATATATAAAATTATATATATATATATAGCATCGTACATTCTTCGAGGGTATACACAATGATGATAAACCTGATAAACCACAAAATGGGGATAGTTTATTATTGAGGATTTTCAATCACATGTTGTCAATCCATGATAATCCATGATTACCAAACACCCACCTTACTAGATAATTAACAATTATGTAGTATTCAAAATACCATTGCCATTTATGATTGAAAAATATTGAAACTATGCCTATTTTGAGGACCCCCTCCACTAATAACTTTGAGGGGTTGCTAATCCTGTCAGAACCAAGATACATTTTTAGCAGTTGGCCTGTTGGCCCCACCTTTGCTACCACTTGCTATAAGGGTGGAACGGGACCTTTCACTCATCCTTGGATATTCTGGAAAGTCATTTCGGCACAAAAATTGAAGACCAGTTTGGACCCATAAGTGGCTGGAACAGTTCATCAGAACCCGAATAGCAGAAACATCATCATCATCATCATCATCATCCAGCCTTTGAAGGCCATATTTTACCAGAGAAAAATCCCTCCTCTCACATCTCTCATGCAAACCGAAAAACAAAACACCTTTTCCCTACTCACTAAGTTGCTGTGACTCGACCAACCAGGCAATAAATGAGGTTACCAACCAACTTCTACAGCAACTGGGCATCAGCTTTTCTCCCTATAATCCTTCCACTGATCGTGAGCTAATAAAAATGGCTACGAGTCGTCACTGAATTTGTCACCGCACTGAAGATTCCTGGGATGATCCTCCAAGTAAACCCCAGGTCCACTGCTAAACACAGATGTTGTAGAGTTAAATGACCATTTTTTGGTTGTTCAATGACCATTTTTTGGTTGTTCAATGACCATTTTTTGGTTGTTCAATGACCATTTTTTGGTTGTTCAATGACCATTTTTTGGTTGTTCAATGACCATTGTTTGGTTGTTAAATGACCATTTGTTGGTTGTTAAATGACAATTGTTTGGTTGTTAAATGACCATTTTTTGGTTGTTCAATGACCATTTTTTGGTTGTTCAATGACCATTTTTTGGTTGTTCAATGACCATTTTTTGGTTGTTAAATGACAATTTTTTGGTTGTTCAATGACATTTTTTTGGTTGTTCAATGACCATTTTTTGGTTGTTCAATGACCATTTTTTGGTTGTTCAATGACAATTGTTTGGTTGTTCAATGACCATTGTTTGGTTGTTAAATGACCATTTGTTGGTTGTTAAATGACAATTGTTTGGTTGTTAAATGACCATTGTTTGGTTGTTCAATGACCATTTTTTGGTTGTTCAATGACCATTTTTTGGTTGTTCAATGACCATTTTTTGGTTGTTCAATGACCATTTGTTGGTTGTTAAATGACAATTGTTTGGTTGTTAAATGACCATTGTTTGGTTGTTAAATGACCATTTGTTGGTTGTTAAATGACAATTGTTTGGTTGTTAAATGATTATTTTTTGGTTGTTCAATGACCATTTGTTGGTTGTTAAATGACAATTGTTTGGTTGTTAAATGACCATTTGTTGGTTGTTAAATGACAATTGTTTGGTTGTTAAATGACCATTTGTTGGTTGTTAAATGACAATTGTTTGGTTGTTAAATGACCGTTTGTTGGTTGTTAAATGATTATTTTTTGGTTGTTAAATGACATTTTTTTGTTGTTAAATGACAATTTTTTGGTTGTTAAATGACCATTTGTTGGTTGTTAAATGACAATTGTTTGGTTGTTAAATGACTATTTGTTGGTTGTTAAATGACAATTGTTTGGTTGTTAAATGACCATTTGTTGGTTGTTAAATGACAATTTTTTGGTTGTTCAATGACCATTTTTTGGTTGTTTAATGACCATTGTTTGGTTGTTAAATGACTATTTGTTGGTTGTTAAATGACAATTGTTTGGTTGTGAAATGACCATTTGTTGGTTGTTAAATGACCTTTTTTTGGTTGTTAAATGACAATTTTTTGGTTGTTAAATGACCATTTTTTGGTTGTTAAATGACATTTTTTGGTTGTTAAATGACCATTTTTTGGTTGTTAAATGACCATTTGTTGGTTGTTAAATGACAATTGTTTGGTTGTTAAATGACCATTTGTTGGTTGTTAAATGACAATTGTTTGTTTGTTAAATGACCATTTGTTGGTTGTTAATGACAATTGTTTGGTTGTTAAATGACCATTTGTTGGTTGTTAAATGACAATTGTTTGGTTGTTAAATGACCATTTGTTGGTTGTTAAATGACAATTGTTTGGTTGTTCAGTGACCATTTGTTGGTTGTTAAATGACAATTGTTTGGTTGTTAAATGACCATTTGTTGGTTGTTAAATGACAATTGTTTGGTTGTTAAATGACCCTTTTTTGGTTGTTAAATGACCATTTGTTGGTTGTTAAATGACAATTGTTTGGTTGTTAAATGACATTTTTTTGGTTGTTTAATGACCATTGTTTGGTTGTTAAATGACAATTTTTTGGTTGTTAAATGACCATTTGTTGGTTGTTAAATGACAATTGTTTGGTTGCTAAATGACAATTTTTTGGTTGTTAAATGACAATTGTTTGGTTGTTCAATGACCATTTTTTGGTTGTAAAATGACCATTTGTTGGTTGTTAAATGACAATTGTTTGGTTGTTAAATGACAATTTTTTGGTTGTTAAATGACCATTTGTTGGTTGTTAAATGACAATTGTTTGGTTGTTCAATGACAATTTTTTGGTTGTTCAATGACCATTGTTTGGTTGTTCAATGGCCATTTTTTGGTTGTTAAATGACAATTGTTTGGTTGTTAAATGACCATTTTTTGGTTGTTAAATGACCATTTTTGGTTGTTAAATGACAATTTTTTGGTTGTTCAATGACCATTTTTTGGTTGTTCAATGGCCATTGTTTGGTTGTTCAATGACCATTTTTTGGTTGTTAAATGACAATTTTTTGGTTGTTCAATGGCCATTGTTTGGTTGTTAAATGACCATTTTTTGGTTGTTAAATGACAATTTTTTGGTTGTTAAATGACATTTTTTTGGTTATTAAATGACAATTTTTTGGTTGTTAAATGACAATTTTTGGTTGTTCAATGACAATTTTTTGTTGTTCAATGACCATTGTTTGGTTGTTCAATGACCATTTTTTGGTTGTTAAATGACCATTGCTTGGTTGTTAAATGACCCTTTTTTGGTTGTTCAATAACCATTTTTTGGTTGTTAAATGACCATTTTTTGGTTGTTAAATGACAATTTTTTGGTTGTTAAATGACCATTTTTTGGTTGTTCAATGACCATTGTTTGGTTGTTAAATGACCATTTTTTGGTTGTTAAATGACAATTTTTTTGTGGTTAAATGACCATTTGTTGGTTGTTAAATGACAATTGTTTGGTTGTTAAATGACAATTTTTTGGTTGTTCAATGGCCATTGTTTGGTTGTTCAATGACCATTTTTTGGTTGTTAAATGACAATTTTTTGGTTGTTCAATGGCCATTGTTTGGTTGTTAAATGACCATTTTTTGGTTGTTAAATGACAATTTTTTGGTTGTTAAATGACATTTTTTTGGTTATTAAATGACAATTTTTTGGTTGTTAAATGACAATTTTTTGGTTGTTCAATGACCATTTTTTGTTGTTAAATGACCATTTTTTGGTTGTTAAATGACAATTTTTTGGTTGTTAAATGACAATTTTTTGGTTGTTAAATGACAATTTTTTGGTTGTTCAATGACCATTGTTTGGTTGTTAAATGACAATTTTTTGGTTGTTCAATGGCCATTGTTTGGTTGTTAAATGACAATTTTTGGGTTGTTAAATGATATTTTTTTCGTTGTTAAATGACAATTTTTTGGTTGTTAAATGACCCTTTTTTGGTTGTTCAATGACCATTGTTTGATTGTTAAATGACCATTTTTTGGTTGTTAAATGACAATTTTTTGGTTGTTAAATGACCATTTTTTGGCTGTTCAATGACCATTGTTTGGTTGTTAAATGACCATTTTTTTGGTTGTTCAATGACATTTTTTTGGTTGTTAAATGACCATTTTTTTGTTGTTCAATGACCATTGTTTGGTTGTTAAATGACTATTTTTTGGTTGTTAAATGACAATTTTTTGGTTGTTAAATGACCATTTTTTGGTTGTTCAATGACCATTGTTTGGTTGTTAAATGACAATTTTTTGGTTGTTAAATGACAATTTTTTGGTTGTTCAATGACCATTGTTTGGTTGTTAAATGACAATTTTTTTGTTGTTAAATGACAATTTTTTGGTTGTTCAATGACAATTGTTTGGTTGTTAAATGACCATTTTTTGGTTGTTAAATGACAATTTTTTGGTTGTTCAATGACCATTGTTTGGTTGTTAAATGACAATTTTTTGGTTGTTAAATGACAATTTTTTGGTTGTTCAATGACCATTGTTTGGTTGTTAAATGACAATTTTTTGGTTGTTAAATGACAATTTTTTGGTTTGTTCAATGACCATTGTTTGGTTGTTAAATGACCATTGTTTGGTTGTTAAATGACAATTTTTTGGTTGTTCAATGACCATTGTTTGGTTGTTAAATGACCATTGTTTGGTTGTTAAATGACAATTTTTTGGTTGTTCAATGACCATTGTTTGGTTGTTCAATGACCATTGTTTGGTTGTTAAATGACCATTGTTTGGTTGTTAAATGACCATTGTTTGGTTGTTCAATGACCATTTTTTTGTTGTTCAATGACCATTTTTTGGTTGTTCAATGACCATTGTTTGGTTGTTCAATGATCATTTTTTGGTTGTTCAATGACCATTCTTTGGTTGTTCAATGACCATTGTTTGGTTGTTCTATGGCCATTGTTTGGTTGTTAAATGACAATTTTTTGGTTGTTAAATGACCATTGTTTGGTTGTTAAATGACCCTTTTTTGGTTGTTCAATAACCATTTTTTAGTTGTTCAATGACATTTTTTCGTTGTTCAATGACCATTGTTTGGTTGTTAAATGACAATTTTTTGGTTGTTAAATGACAATTTTTTGGTTGTTAAATGACAATTTTTTGGTTGTTCAATGACTATTGTTTGGTTGTTAAATGACCATTTTTTGGTTGTTCAATGACCATTGTTTGGTTGTTAAATGACCATTTTTTTGGTTGTTCAATGACCATTGTTTGGTTGTTAAATGACCATTTTTTGGCTGTTCAATGACCATTGTTTGGTTGTTAAATGACCATTTTTTTGGTTGTTCAATGACCATTGTTTGGTTGTTAAATGACCATTTTTTGGTTGTTCAATGACCATTGTTTGGTTGTTAAATTACCATTTTTTTGTTGTTCAATGACCATTGTTTGGTTGTTAAATGGCAATTTTTTGGTTGTTAAATGACAAGTGTTTGGTTGTTAAATGACCATTTTTTGGTTGTTCAATGACAATTTTTGATTGTTAAATGACCCATTTTTGATGCTTCAATGTTGGAAACTCAACTCAATAAACCATCCTCAAGTAGCCAGATAGCCATGCTGATGCAAAAGGTGATGGTTTATGACATTGCAGGTACCACAATTTTACTTTGATCATGATCATATACTATAGATATATCATGGTATAATCATGATATCTGGTTGGTGGTTGACCTACCCCTCTGAAATTCCCAACTGAATGGGCAAATAATCCAAATGTTCCAAACCACCAACCAAATACTCAAAGTTCGATAACTTGGTGATGATCACCTGCGGCAAACTCTTGGCTTTCCGGGGGTAATCTATAATCAGTCTCATCCACCACCATAGTGACATGTTCCATCCCTGCCATGGATCCATGGCCCCCATCCCATCCGTCCTCAACACCTCCGGCACCGAGGAGGGACCGCGCCCCGTGCGGCCGACTCCGGGCGCCCCGCGGCGCCACGTCCGAGGGCCGCGGCGGCGCCCGCCGCTCGGGCTCCGACGCGAAGGCGTCGGCGGCGGCGTAGCCGTCGGAGCTTTCTTCCATGCAGGGCGGGAGGAAATTCCTGGCGAAATCAGCGGAAAATCCACGGGAAAAAATCCATTCCTGGTTCAAAACCACTAGAGTTACCGTACCCTCAAAAAAATATCATGGAAAAACATGTGAAAATCCATGGGAAATCCACTTATAATTAAATGGAAGTTTTTTTCGCTGGGAAAATCCATGGGAAAGTTAGCCTAGGGCAAAGTAACGTAGATGTGGAATACCAATGGCTTTGTCAAGTCAACAAAATTCAACAAAGCCTAACCTGACACTCAGAAGGCCTTGGGCCTACAATGTATAGCAAAAACGGCAAGGGAAAATGGGCGACCAAGCTGGCAAAGTCAGCGTTGCCCTGCCGCTTTCTTACGAAAATGATCTAAAAATGGAGGCTTTTCCACATCAGAACCGGGATGATGATTGCCATGGCCTGATGGTGGTACATTGGTGCATCCCTGTGCTCACTGGGATGCACCATATGATAACTGGGGGATATTCCATTGAGGGCTTTATCTACTGGGGATGATTTGGTGATGACTGTTATGATTTGTGAAAATACTGGAAAGGGCCCCCTTTTTAAAGATAGGTGTTGATAAAAATAGCTCTAACATGCTATAACCATGGCGCATTGTAGATATTGATAGTATAACTCACCGAGTTTGTAAACCAGGAATCAAAACTGGAACCATGAATCCCAACAGGGAAGCGGAATAATCCATTCCGTGACGTCACTGAGTATGGGGAATCATACCTGGTTGGTAGTTGAGCCCTACCCCTCTGAAAAATCATGGAGTGAAAGTCAGTTGGGACTATGAAATTCCCAACTGAATGGAAAGTCATAAAATTCCATGGTTCCAAACCATCAACCTAATACTCAAAGTTCGATAACTTGGTGATGATCACCTGCGGCAAACTCTTGGCTTTCCGGGGGTAATCTATAATTAGATAGGCTTGTAAAGCAAACATAACTCCGGGGGGGTACCACCTCGTAGTGTTGACGTGCTCATAGGTTTCAACCGATCTAGTACCCATATGCTCCATGTATGGTATATTTACCTAGATTTGGGTGATTTTTTGGGCAAATGTTGGTAAATATTCCAGCACCATGGAGCATATCCCAATGGATCAATAGATAATGATCTTTTGATGTTATCAGATCAGATTGTCCCAATATGAATCAGATTATCTATTCCCATTAGAAATTATTAGATATATTCCCATATATTCCCAAAAATAATCTATCTATAACTGGGATTGTTTACTGTTACGAGATGATGGTAGCTTTCAAACTACCTGGTCGGTATGTGGACTGTAACTGGGGTTGTTTTCAACTGGGAAAACAGAGAGCTTATGATAAATACCTCTAATCATCGACATCTAATCTACCTAGACGGTTTATCCAATGTTTATCCAAACATTTTCACAGGATAAGTCAACCCGATTCTTGCTTCCTGAAAAACCCAGTGTTGTTTTGTCAATTTCAAGGTATTAACCAATCAGCCGCATCCATTTGTAGTGATTGTAGTGTTGCTTCAGTCTCCATATTTTCTTGCGACAGTCACATTGGATCATCATCGGAATTTCGATAATATGACCCAACGTACCTCCAATCATTATCAATCATTCATATGTCCCAATTATTGGCTATGTCTCATTATAAACCCCATCTCAGTTGGCGTTTTCGGTTCCCAAGTCACGACAAGTCGCCGTGTATCATTTTGGTTTATATCCTCAAAAAATATCTGATATCCCCATAAGACGGTTATAGAATGCACATCTTTTACAAGGCCCCAGAGAGATATGCCCCATTTCGTGAATTCATATCTCCTGACTCCACACCATACACCATATACACCATGTACACCATATACACCATATACACCATATACACCATATACACCATATACACCATATACACCATATGCACCATATACACCATATACACCATATACACCATATACACCATAATGCCGGTGGCAGGTCGCTGCCGGAAAAGAATGGCAAAGCTGGCATGTGTGAACGGCTGACGGTGTCAGACAACACCCTTTGCAGCTCGAAAAAACATAAACTCGGAATGGCTCTGCCGACTCATCCCACTTGAGTCTGTCTAAAAAATGCCATCCCAAAATCCATTGAGGTTAATGACTATTTTAATCATTTTCCAACTTCAATGAACCATTTTGGGGATACTGGATACTTCGTCACCATTTCCCACATCGGTTTGCATCAATATCCCCAACATTTTTCTCAATGTATCTGATTCAATGATTTTACCAGGATTCATCACTGGTTGGTGATTTTAACCATCTTGAAAAATATGAAAGTCAATGGGAAGGATTATCCCATACACTATGGAAAATAAAAAATGTTGAAACCACCAACCAGATCATCTCCATGTTCTGTCCGAAAAAACCAACCGTTTTAACTGCGCCCGCGTCGACAGCTCCGCTCCTCACCAGCAACGCTCCCACGGACGACGACAGCGGAGCCGTCGAAGTCGCCATCGACGCCGGCGCTGAGCGGCGCTGCACGTGGCGCGCCGAAGTTTTGCTGCCACGTAGACGGGCTAGGACACCGGGTAGACCTGGACATCAGGTATTTCATGGCATCTAATATGGAGGTGTCCTAAGCCATGGGGGCACCAAATCTTTAATCGCTGGATGGTTTATGTCATAGAAAATCCCAATCTAAAATGGATGATTTGGAGGTACCCTCATTTTAGGAAACCTCCGTGTGTTTTAATGGGAAGTTGATGGGATCTCGTGGGATTTCAATAGATTTAATTTAAGTCAAGTTTGAAAGATTTAACCCTTGCCGTTGTAAAAAAAACAATTTGGGAGCCACAGAACTAGGATAACTGTTGGGTTTCTGGTAGGGTTACCGTATGTACGTAGTTAATGCTGGTTAATTGTGGTTACAAACAAAGATAACTGGTGGGCACCAGTTTGGAAATCAAGGGATCCGAAAGCAAAACGATTTTATATATATATATATACATATAGTATATTGTGATATACCAGCAACAATGGTGATATATATATATATAGAGGGCCATCCACAAAAAGTATTTGATTTACCATCCACTAAACTACCAACGAAGAGTAGATCATTTTCCTAGGGAAGCCTGCGCGGTTTTCCACATCGAGAGTTGGTAAAAACTCTAGGGTAAGCCATAAAACAAGAGTTGATCTTGATTCAAGCAGTAGAAGAATCATGAAGAATCAAGACTTTGGATTTCAAGACGCAGAAATCAGCAACTTCTTGATTTCCCCTGCCGAAAAAGGTGGGACCAGAGACTTCTTGTTTTTCCCAGAATACCGGTACCAAATCTGATGGTTTACCCTCTGGTAAACTAACATCACTATGGAAAATCAGCATTTTTCGTGGGTAAATCAACTATTTCTATGGCTATGTTCAACAGCTACACCAGCTATTACCAGAAATTATCATCATTTTCCACAGACATGGCTGCGGAGTTTTTGGAGTTGCCGGTTATCCCATTAATCTCCCGATTTTTGGAGTCGCTGTCAATGCTCAAAAGTATCCTTTGGGAAATGGCCATAATATCATAATCAAATAGGATGTTTAAAAGGAGGCCTGACCCAGAGAAAAACACTACCTTTAAACAGCCGTAAAAAATGCACTCCTTTAGAACAATGGTAGTCAACAATGGTTCAAAATTGTGGCAAATTCCAAGAAGAAATTCCCATCCTAGAAGAGAAAACAGGATGTATCCCCACTTTGAAGCATTACATACAACATAATATGTATGTGACGTAAAATGCAAAATTGTGGAGAAGTTGAGGCCATGTACTTCTCATAAATAATCGTGATCCTTCTTTTTGTGTGGTAAACATCATGAAAATTGGAAATGTGTTGAAACCTGGGGATACACTACTGTAATGTTTCCATATGATTGTGGTACAATACCACATTATGTTGAAAAGAATGAGTCGTCTTTGAAACACAACCTTAATTCATTTAAAATGCCTATTTCAGTTAGAAAAGTAGGGAAACTCGCTGGTGTTTTCAAACAGGTTGTGGATATGTTCAATAGATTGGTTGCCCTTGATGCAGTGCCACCATTATATTCAAGCAAAAATCCACCACACAACCTGATGTTATATCTTGTTTGTAGCCAGGTGGTGTCACACCAACGCCCTGCCATGGTCATGCGGTCTGTCACCGTTGAAGTTATATTAGTTATATTCTAGTTAATAGCGGAAGTACCTATAATGTTTAATTGAAATTATATTCTAATTAACAGTGCAAGTACATGTAATGTTGAATGAGTTTGAGCTGCGCAGAGCAGCAGTTGACCAAAGAAAATGCAACACATTGAGCCAAAGGCAAAATTGCTAACAATATCACGCATTGCAGTTTTATTCGCTTGCTTTCATTGCCCAGAGAAAAATATGTATATAGTCTATTATATAAGTTTTGTGCCTCTGCTAAATTCCTAGCAAACAATGCTTTGAAGAAATGAGGTTCTTCAAAGACGGGCAGTTTTCCTTACAAAGCATCCACTTCAACCAAACAAGTTGTTGTCATTTATAAACTGGTGGTTGCTTTTGAGCTAGTACAAAGAAACATGTTTGTGAAGGTTGGATTCTTTAAACAAAAAACGATATGTGTTGTCTACAATGTGTATTGTGTTCTAAAGTTCGGTATTCCTGTCTTCTTCCTTATCATGGTAACATTCCTTCAGGCAGATGCTGGTTTCTTCAAAGATTGAATACTTAACTTAAAGTTGCAATCGTATTTTAACAGTGTGGCTTAAACAACAGAAACAATATTGTGTCAAAATATGCAGTGTGTCCTTTAAACATGTAACATTCCTCTCAAAGAAGCTCAGCGGGCCTTTATGTTTGAAACTAGCACCATTTCTTGACAAACATGTAACACTTCAAAGAAGCCCAGCTGCCATCTGTTTGGAAGGATCCCCATTTGTTTGAAGGAAAGGTTTTACTCACCAAACATAAAGTTGAATCAGCCGCCTCTTTTGAAAGTTACACCCATGTTTTGAAAATATGTAACAATCCTTTAAATCACACCATTCCGTTGGAAATATGTAATACTCCTTTCACAGAACTCCAGCTGCACTCTACTGGGACAGGAACACCATTTATTTGAAGGAAAGGTTTGCTTCACCAAAAACCTAATTTTACATCCACAAAGGCTTCACACCTGAAAAGCAAACTTGCATATCCAAGGAATACTGCGCATGTTTAGCATACTTTTATTAAATGACTTGACAAGAATGCTTTGGGGGCAAGATGAATCAGATGTGTTTTGGATTAATCTGGATTAATCCTAAGGAATCAAATACCCAAAGAAACCAAACAAAACAAAGAAACCGGAAAACAAAAAAGAAACCAAAAAAGAAAAAAACAATGTTTTCCAGACTAGTCTGAACATGCCTAGATCCAAGTAGTCCCCAAAGCATTGTTTTTTTGTTGTTTCTTTGTTTTTTTTTGTTTTCTTTGGTTTTATTTTGGGTGGTTAACCACTCTAAGCTCTATTTCCACAAGAAAACTCTCAATTGGATCCCACTAAGTCTACAAGCTCTTCATGGTTAACCATGCTTAACCATGCTTAACCCCTCCATTTTCCCGGCCCAGATTATAGTAATGAGATGTAATGAGATCCTCCCAGAGTTGCTCACTGGTGTGAAGCAAATGAAAAATGGTGTGTTTAAAAAAAAAAACTGGATTTTGATGGACTCTGTGAGGATCCTGCAGTTGTTAATGCTCACGCCGCCGTTAGCGGCGCTGAGGAATTTACTACTTTTTAGCATATCAGAGGAGTTTACTACTTTTCAGCATATACGGCCAGGGGTGGGATGGGGGGTGGGGTGGGATGTTAACGTTCATTTGCACTTGCACACCACGTGGATGCTACGTTGCTGCTACGTGTGGCATGGGTTGGGGTGGGGTGGGATGTTAACGTTCATTTGCACTTGCACACCACGTGGATGCTACGTTGCTGCTACGTGGGGCATGGGTTGGGGTGGGGTGGGATGTTAACGTTCATTTGCACACCACGTGGATGCTACGTTGCTGCTACGAGGAGCATGGGTTGGGGTGGAGTGGGATGTTAACGTTCATTTGCACTTGCACACGTGGATGCTACGTTGCTGCTACGTGGGGCATGGGTTGGGGTGGGGTGGGATGTTAACGTTCATTTGCACTTGCACACCACGTGGATGCTACGTTGCTGCTACGTGGGGCATGGGTTGGGGTGGGGTGGGATGTTAACGTTCATTTGCATTTGCACACCACGTGGATGCTACGTTGCTGCTACGTGGGGCATGGGTTGGGGTGGGGCGGGATGTTAACGTTCATTTGCACTTGCACACCACGTGGATGCTACGTTGCTGCTACGTGGAGCATGGGTTGGGGTGGGGTGGGATGTTAACGTTCATTTGCACTTGCACACCACGTGGATGCTACGTTGCTGCTACGTGTGGCATGGGTTGGGGTGGGGATGTAACTTCATTTTGCACTTGCACGTGGATGCTACGTTGCTGCTACGTGGGGCATGGGTTGGGGTGGGGTGGGATGTTAACGTTCATTTGCACTTGTACACCACGTGGATGCTACGTTGTTGCTACGTGGGGCACGGGTTGGGGTGGGGTGTACTTACCAGGCGTCATGATTGTCTAAACCTTGGACAGAGCATGGCAGGATTTGAAAAAGTATGTTTCATCCGAGATCACAGCAAAGGATGCAACCAGCAAAAAGGTGAATCCTGCGTTGTGGGATTGGATTTACAGCTGGATGTGGCGCCGCAACTGTAAAGGAGATGTGTGGGCAGCCATGCCAGCTCTGTTTCACTGAGACAGAGATTGCTGCAAGCCAGCTGCCAAAACGTACAGCGCCGCTAACGGCGGCGTGACCTTGTTAATGGCTTAGCTATGCTTCATGGACCATGGCTTCATCCATATATTCCACTTCGCTATGTTAAAAATTACCAGAGGCTGTTTTAAGTCTTGTTTCCCAGTGTATATCTGAAGATATCCCATAGAAAACTCATTGTTAAAGTAAAAGTTGCGACAAAAACCCTGATCTTTCAGTATCTCCCATGAAATACCCACTATATCTGGAGATCCTTCGATCGATCCTCCCACCTGGTTCACACTTGATCTCGTGACAAAGTTGATCCCAGTCCTGGATCAACAGGTTTTTCCGGAACCTGAACCTGAAAACCCGTTTCACGAAAAAGATACATGTATAATTAGCTATAATAGGGAATTTCGCCCCAAACATAGTTCGGAGATGTTGATGGAGAAACTGATGTTACTAGATGTTACTACAGTACTGGGATATTTCATGGGAGCTAGCAAAATGGGGAATGACACCATCTATTTTATGGAGAATATGATCTGGATGAGCATTCCAAACGGCTGTGTCTGGGACTTCACACCCGAGCCATTTGGTGAACATGACCAGTGGATATTGGGCAGCCCTACTTTTGGACACACCCGAACCTGTAAACCTCCAAAAAACATGATGTTTACGCGTAAAAACATCATTGTTGTTCCTCGAAATGGGTCACTAACCTTGGCTAATCAATTCCTCAGGTCTTTCTGTCATGTTTGTGATCCATTGGACTCGAAAGCCAACACAGCCGTTTTTACAAGGTAAATCAGCCAACAAACCATAAGCCCTTCATAGTTGTTAAGATATTATTTCAACATATATATATATATATACATACATATATTATGTGTATATATATATATAATGTATGTATGTACATATATATATATAAATACATAATATGTATATTATGTATATATATATATATATCATGTATATACATATTATGTGTATGTATATATATATATACCGTCAGCAAAGATCCATAAAAGTCGGCCGGTTGTTGTTACCACCAAGCACCATTCCCTGTCGATCATCTCATAGAGGCCCAGTTATCATCCAGTCGTCATGGATGACCATGGTGACCAATAGTTTTCAACCAATGGTGATGACTGGGGATCCCCCATGACTTAAGAAACTCCCATATTTAGATGTTCTTCTCCTTGACTGCTAGAAATTGAAATATCCATCTGGTAGTTTCAGACCATGCAACAAAGAAGAGATGGGAAATGTAGAGATGAAGAAGCGATAATTAAAAGGTTCAGATCAAGCAGTTGTCTCTCTAGGTTTCTCCATGCAACAACCATGCATCGAAAACAAGAAAAACAACAACTATAACTGACTATACACCAACTGTAGATTAGCAAAAGTTCCAGCCCCTCATTGGTATTGCATAAAAAGTCCATATCTCTACTTTGAAATCCACATTTTGCTAATTAAAGCCGCACATGTTTGTGGGTAAAATACACATATGCATTGCTTCTTCATCAGTTCAATTTCCCAGATATTTCCAGTGTTGCTGATGAAATCCGTTTTCTGCCGAAAAAAGAAACAAAAACAACACCCTCTGGTAATGACTAACATAGCTATTGAAAATGGCCATTTATAGTGGATTTTCCCATTAAAAATGGTGATTTTCAATAGCTAAGTTAGTTTACCAGAGGGTAATATTCTGATGTGTTTTATTTACATATGGATAAATTATAACAATTCACCAACCTGAAAGAAGGCTTCTTCCTTGGGATAGTTATGCCTACTATATAACCATCATTCCAGTGACGTCGCAGTGAGGTCGTGATGAAATTTATCCAGATCTATAGTTTCTTGATAATCCAATGGTTAAATTATCTATCATATCTAAGATAACTATGTTAAACATCCCAAATTTATACAAATTATACATAGAATAATTTACTACTAGGTGGGATAATAGACTATGTTGTTTGGGAAGTATGTATCTAACTACTTAATTTACTTAATCATATATCATAACATGAACTACCATATTACATTATTGCATACATAACTACAGGAAAGGTTTCCCCTAGCTTTGAGTTGCTTTATAACCCCATCTAACTAGTTCGTTATATATCCCCTATAAACCCTAACGTTAACCAACGTTAAAGCGTCAACTTAGGAAACTATGGGGTCCCTTCCTGTATGAAAATTAGATTGTAACTGCTTGTCGTACAAAAACCCACTGCCAGGTCCTGCTTGCTGGCTTTCAGCCCCGAAGCTTCTGTGAGACGAAGACCCAGCAACAAAACCTGCGTTTGAAACGCTGCCCCAGTGGGGAACATTGCGATTTAGCCATCAACAATGAATAATACGGATTTAAAATCATTGAACATGATTTCTACCATCAACGAACATTGGGATCTATATTTGATCTTTGATTTGTACATATTTATAGTAGGTAATTAGTAGGTAACTTGGAAACCACATAATTAGAAAAACTAAGACTTCGTTGGCTTTAGGGGGAGATATCGTACCACCTTGTCCAGCCTGAGAAGTTTGCTGGTCTTTGTCCATGAAAAAAATCACATGAGTGCTGACTTGCAATATGGTGATTGACCCTGGAATTCTTGGGTACCCGGGTACCCTATTTTCCCCCGATATATATAATATATATATATATATATATACATACATACATACATGTGTATATATAATTATATATATAATCATATTATATATATATATAGTGCACACAACAAACCATAACGTGATCGTGATAATATATATATATACGCAGTTCTAGATGAGGATGATCGAATATTGAAGCAATCCTGCATGGGTCAAATCTCTGGCACCATTTGTGAACCCCAAAGAAACGCTGGTAGCATCTGGTTATGATTCACTTCGCCAAAGATCCACCCATTTTCCGAAAAAAATGGGTGATTTACCATCTGGTTATGACTATCATCGCCATGGAAAGATCCACCCATTTTTAAGAACGGTAAACCATCTGTTTCGATTAGGGCCATGGCTTAACCATGGCGAACTGTGAATGTCATAACCAGAGGGAAATAGTAGGTTTTGACCCACCCCATGGGAAGAGACACAGCTGATAGAAAACACCGGGGGAGAAACAATGGGGGAACATGGATCCTTGGATCCTTCGCCAAGGTCAAACATACTCAACAAATATGAGCACAATATCTTTAAAACATATGTCATAAATATCAGATGATGATGGACTTCATGGTTAAACAATGTTAAACACATGAGTCAAAAATAAGTGGTATGTTCCACATCACTTTTAACATCTATTTGTCATGTTTATAAATGGAGTTTTTTCCATTTATATAGGGATACCCCCAAATCTCATCCATTTTTAGATCTGGGTAAATTATGATATTTCACTAACCTGAATTGTTGGGCCATTTGGGGATGATTTCCCAACAATTAACCATGATTCCATTTATAGATGATATTTTCCATGAAATAAACCATCCAGCGATAAATCAGTGGCCATTTCAGAATCCTAAATTGGAGGTACCTACCATATAAGGCCTAAATTTATGGGAATATCCCCACCAAATATGGCCTTATGGTACTAACGTACCTCCATTTTAGGATCCTGGAGATCTCCCATTGAATAAAGGGGGATCCCCATGACGAAACCTCCACATGTTCAGCCCACCTCCAGGACTTGATCGGCGCCAGACCTCGTGTCGCAAAGGGCGATGGCGGATTTTCATTGGCATTATTATGTTGATTGGTGTGATGATATGATGTTTATTACTATGTTGATTGGTATTATATGCTTTACTGTTTGCATTGTATATATATATATTGGTATTATCATGACTATTTTGATTGGTATTATAAACACCGTTGCTATCTGCATTATAGTATGAATATATATATACACATAATTAAACATAATTAAACATATATAAACATATATAATCAATTATAAACATATATAAACATATATAAACATATATACATACATATAACATCATATAAAATCATATAACTATTGTTAATATGGTCTTATCGTCGTCATTTGTTGTTGGTTGCTGGCAACACCAACAGCACCAACAAGTGGTTGGTGTCGTTGTTGTCCTTTGGAATGATGATGATGATGATGATGATGATGATGACGATGACGCCGACGACGACGATGACGAAGAATGCGAAGATGACCTGTACTGAGGCTGTTGCCGTCCCCGCCCACGTGGAGAAGCTCCTCAGCACCGTGTTGGGGTCCTCAGCCAATCTGTCGAGGTTGACGTCCGGTTTGTGACTCGTGGCCCCGCCACCCCCTCCGTAATGGGCTTTTTGGTTGGGATTGTCCCCTTGAACTTCGGCTCGGATTCCTCCTCCATCGCCTGCTTAGCCGTCAGCTAAAGTTGGAGGAGCCCTGGAAAAGCTTCCACCACGGCCAACTCCCTGCAACAGTCTTGGGATGTGAACTACTACCACTCTTTTTTGTGGATCTTTGGGACCCTTAAACGCCTTTTGGGTCAAAAAATGGCCAAAAAAACACCCATTTTTTGTCGCAACAAAACCAGTGGAGAACGATGATCAACTTTGGCTGGTGGCGACCATCCATGTCATTGAGAACGATCCATAGATCGTTCTGAGAATCAAGCAGCAACATATAGCAACATTAAGTGGACTTGCAAACATGAGGATATGAAGCAACAAGACTACCTCATGGATATTTCGTAATGATATTTCCTGAACCAGATTCAAGGCAATGTATTTGATGTGTGTTTTTTCCACTGATTTGAGACATATTCATGGGATATGAACCGATCTGCAAAAAAAAGTGGGCCGGAAATGGGAGGAACAGAATTGGTTGGATTACCCAAATACTCCATGTGCGCATGCTTTACCAATGTGTTTGCGTGAACTTCAATTTGTTGGAGGCAAATGTATGGATAAACACACCATGTCTGATCAATCTTAAAAACATGCTACAATGATGTTTAATCCTAAAAAGGACCCAGTAATCCTTTCCCCTAACAAGAACCACCCCCCAGAGAACTTGCACGAACCTGGTTTAGTGTCGCTTCATGTACTTACTGTACATATATATATATATATAGATTATAGAGGTTCCAAATAGTTGACTTTACTATTTTGGCAGAAACTTAACCATCAGCAAAACAACAACAACTAGTGTATCCTTATATTTTGATGCCTATCATCTTAAGATCCTGTCATTAGATGCTTCGCAGTGCCGTCCTCCACTGAGGACCCAACGCTGTGCGCGGCGAATTTTCATATTTTTCATCGCCTGGCCGTTCAGACCCGTGGAGATTTAACCCAAGAAATTGCGACCTGGGAGGAGTTACCCTCTGGTAAACATACAAAAAACGATGGAAAATCGCCATTTTGAATGGGTAAATCAACTATTTCGACTTGGCCATGGCTTCCAGTTCGCAAACTGTGAATGTTTACCAGAGGGTAGCTAGGAAAACTGAGGGGTATAAAACCAACCATAAAAAAGGGAAATCCTATAGGATGCCATAGGAAAAGCTTCAACATAACCGCTGACCCCCCAAACCACGGAATATCATATAGAAGTTGTGTTTCATTCATAAATCCTAAATAGACTTAAAAACATTGGGGAAGTCAGCTTCGGGCAAGGTTGAATCCTCATCAAACCAGCAGTTGGTGTTTGGAACTAGGGGTGTCTAGTGATAGTATCCCTTCCAAAAGGGCTTGCAAAAAGATTCCAAATCACTCATCCAAATCACTGGTTAACCATCGGAGCTTTTGATGGTTCCAACATGTTCCAATAAGGAATGGACACAAGGGCATGTGAACTGCGCCTTTTGCGAAGTGCATCGATGTCCAAGTCAGAGAACAGCGCGTTGAAAAATGTTCACCGGGATTCAACCAACTCCAAAGGGGACCACTCCATCTATCAAAGATTGCCTGTCAACATAGCTACCGGTGTGTTGCCTCTACTAGTGAAATAGGGCCAAAACCATGGCCATTAGCATGTCAACACCATGGCTTTGGATGGCATTGTGCAGTCTTGGGGGAAAAAATGATGAATCGTTGAGATTCATCCTTATAGTCATATGGTTCTTGCTGGTTAGTAAGATAAAACCAACTTGCCTATCTTCGGGGTCCCACAGTGTAAAGATGTTCCGGTATCCAGCCCTGACTTGGTTCCGGTTCACCTGAACTTCACCCTGCTTGCAGGGACTTTGACGACTAGTGGTGTTTCCTATCCATACAGCATCCAGGGCTATGACTGGTAGACAACCAACTATAACCCATAGGATCCATGTATGGTATATATGCTAACATTGGGGGTATATTGATTGGATCCATGTTACCATATATAGCATACATGGATCCTATGGGTAATAATTGGGAATATATTGCTACATAATAGAGAAACCTCCCTAGGTGACCCCGGTGACCCCACCATGAATATGCTGGATACCATGACAGTACATTCACAGTTGTCTGGTTTTATTCAGAAATTTATGACCAAGGGGGAATGTTCACTGTTTCTGCTTTTGCTCTCTTCATGCCCTGCAAATATCCAATCAATGCTTGTTTTAGCAGGTACTACAGAAACCATTCTCAATCAAGCCGGCAAAACAATTAACCAAGAATCAAACAGGCAACACCTCCTTACCAGTTTCTAAGGTTTACCCGATTTTTTTGGTCCAAATTGCTGAACCCAATGGTTTCCCATTTTTCTTTGTTGAACATCAGTATGACACCAGGGCGGTAATCTTCCTACATGCGATTGCAAAAAAAATACACGCTTCCTGGAGCACTGTGATCATTACCTCACATGATTCACTTTCCCATAGTTCCCCCTATCAAATAGCCACGAATGCGATATCACTCCATTGTAACAACCTATGTTTGACGCTAAAAACCGTGGTTTCATGATCACCATTACAGCATACCAAAATATTCAGACCAACAGAAAAAAATGTTCTTATGGTTTCGTTTGTTTCTTTAGATAATCAGTGGCCATTTCAGGAACGTAAATAGGAGATACATATACCATATATATATATATATATGCAGAATTATATATATATATAGAATTATATATATATATGTGTATAATTATATATATAAGGCCTAAATTTCAAAGAATATCTCAACAACATATGGCCCAACAGATGAGACAAATCCCACTGACTGTTGAACCAACAAATCCCAAGCCGCGTGACGAACCCTGACGCCTGCAGGCGTCTTTCCAGCTGCCTGACCCAGATATGCAGTGAGGCCTCGAAACAGAGCTGACTTCCGGGATGTGAGTTATAACATGTTATAACCCAGATACATGTCCCATGACGGATCCATGGTGCTGGTATAATTATATGCTAACATGAAAAAACATCTTGAAAAATGATGGAGTTCGTCAATGGGAAGGATGACATCCGAAATATATGAAATGGAAAATAAAAATGTTTGAAACCACCAACCAGTCTGTATTTCTACGTCTAATTCTTCCCAAAAAAAAAAGTTCGAGCAATTCTTCCAGCCATTTTCACAGCATATGGCAGTGTGTCAAAACCTTGTACCCCTGTAGTTCACAAAATAGCTGGGATTTATGGATGTTCATTCCCCTAAAAAATGGTATTAATAGGTATTGATCCATACCCATATGTTGGTAACTGGTTAGTTACTGGTTAGCTACTGGTTAGTAACTGCTTAGTAACTGCTTAGTAACATGTTCCGGAAGTTGATCAGATGTGAAAATGGTTGGTGGAGAGGCTGAGAGGCTTCGACTCGAAATCCTGGAGCTTTGGGTGTTTTTCATTGGGAAAGGTATATCCAAGTGCATCAAAAGAAAAGTTGATAATCCTAAAAAATATGGGATAATGTATGGGATATTAATATTATTAATGGGATAATATGGTGAAAAAAACAATAGATATGGTGTATAGTTATTAATATCTGGTTGGTGGTTTGAATCCCTCTGAAAAATGATGGAGTGAAAGTCAGTTGGGATGATGACATTCCCCATATTAATATATGGAAATATAAAATTCATGTTCCAAACCACCAACCAGAAAGGGTCGATCTTTAGACAAAGCTATATGGCTAGGAAGGTGAAGAAGGGGTACCTAGACCCGGTTGGACTCACAAAACCGAAAGAAATTTCACATGTTTCTATGGCGGAGGGTCGCGGTAGAAGAACCCCTTCCCCACAAAAAAAAAAAAACATTTTGTGACTATCAGCTATCATTGACCTGCAATTGCTTGGAAAAAAGATTGGGCTTGACCTACAGTAACCTCTAAAATCCAATCTGGATGAACTATGATGACGACCTGCGCTGTGCTGGTAGGCTGGTAGCAGTTGACCAAACGCTTTTTTGTTGATTTACCCAGCTATACAATGGTGATTTTCCATACTTATGTTAGTTTACCAGAGGGTGTACCCAGCAGCTCAGTTCGCAAGTGCTTGAACTAACCGTTAGACAGCTGGAAGTCAACAAGAAACTCCAAGCAGGAGATCCTCAAAGTACATAAAAGTACATAAAAGGGAAACGCGCAAACGTAGCAACGAGCGTCAACGGGCAGGATTTACCCCCAAACAGGTGGATCCTTGGGTCCTAAAAAAACCCATGAAGGCCTTGTTTTGCCGTAAAAAAAGGTGGTTTTTGGCGCCAGCTTGCCATGATTATTAACGGAAATCCAAGGGGAAGAATGGGATATTACTTGGGATCATATTGGGATAATCATGGGACAATAAATCCGGGATAATCCTATATTTTACAAGTTGAAAAATTATAAAATGGTCGATTCTGAACAGCTACACATCAGTGAGCTCATGTGAGCTCCTGCTTCCCACTTACCAAGCTGAAAATTGGACACGGCTTGGGTAACCAAGTGCCATGTCCTCCTGTTGTGTGCCCGCTTGATCTGCAACATGCGTTCCAATTGACATCTCTGCCTCAAAAATATGGTGTTATTAATATATTATATTATATTATAGCCCATTATCAAATATGATTATCCCATTATTGTGATTCCGTAACACATTTCTATTTCTCATCGGGGTCACAACTTTCTGGACACACATAAAAAATCATGGCGACTCTTAGATACCTGCATTTTTTCGGGGGGATGGTTAGTAAATCTTCCCATTTGTGGCAAACAAACAAAATATGTCAGTTTTCAACTACAGTTCACCATGGTTTACCCGTTTGTCCAGTCGTCGGTTCCCCTGCGTTTCTGTGGGTTACCCACTGCGTAATTCAACAGCATAGCCAGCGAATCGCTATGGAAAATGGCCCAGTGAATCGCAGTGATTTTTATGATGTACCTGTGCAGATCTCATCAACAATTCTGATTTTCCATGGCTATGTTAAATTACCAAAGGGTAAGCCCGCATGTGAAAAATACCCGGCCCCACTACCCAAAAACCAAGTAGCGTTGCCACCGTTCAGCTACCTGCAATCGATCCTGATCGGGAATCGGAAGTGGGTAGTATATATATATATATATTCTATAATTATATATATATATATTATGATCCATAAATTTAGTTATAATATGTTATAATATGTTATAATGGGCTAATCAACATAGAAGTAAATTAACTCATGTATAACGCGTCATTGTTTTCGAATCATGGGTGGTGAACCAGTGAAATTTCTGAGCAACCCATTTATAGCTAGATTATTTCAAGATGCTTTGCAACTGGAATACACATCCAAGCACATGACCACGTCCATGGTGGTAACTAGATGCTGTACATGTTGTCAAACATCATATTCTACCTGCGTACATGTGGAACTAATATGGGATATGACTCGATATGACCTAAAAGTTGCCTCCCCCGGGTTCTAAACCTTGTTAAATTCCAGAAATCCTGGTTATTCTAGTTTCACAAACCAATTTAATTGTCTAAGGGTCCCAACATGGAGAAAAAAATACCTAACTTCTGTTTCCTGAAAGCGCCTAAGCTTGGAAACATACTAGTCCGAACATCTCTCAACTATCTCCGAAGTACTTCAAATCATATTTGGAATTTCATGTTACTAATGTGGCTATGATCAATACCGATACTATTTCTATGGGGATGAACATCCATAAATTCCAGCTATTTTGATGTGAACTACAGGGGTACAGGCTGACTGTCTGACTTGACCCATCCCCGTATGGGCGTTTTCAGAAATGGGGATACCCAAAAATTGATGGTTGATGATGGAAATCCTATTAAAGTAGACTGGTTGGTGGTTGACCTACCCCTCTGAAAAAATATGCTCGTCAGTTGGGATTATGAAATTCCCCCAACTATTGGGGAAAATAAAATTCATGGTTCCAGTCACCACCAACCAGATGACTTGGGGGTACCCCCATTTCAGGAAAGCTCCACTGCTGTCATAAATTCCCTGGATTCCAATCACTTCAGTCGTGAAATCCCGGCTCCCACCTGTGCCGTGGATCCCTGCGTTGCAGCCTATGGCAAGGCCGGAAAGGGACATCCATGGATTTATCGCTCAAAACGCGTATCTCACGTCCATTTTTCTTGGTTTTATAACGGTTGAAATATCCACATAATAAGCGATCTGGATATTGATTTCGATAATTAAGCATGTGTACATATACGTGTACATATTAAATCATATTAATACATATGAAGGATAATTAATTGGATAATCAATGATCTGGTTGGTGGGTTCACCTACCCCTGGAAAAAATATGAGTTCGTCAGTTGGGATGATGATTTTTTCCCAACTGAATGGAAAGTCATAAAATTCCATGGTTCCAGTCACCACCAACCAGCTGGATATTGATCGAACATTCGATACCGAGATGTGGAGAGATTGAAAAAACACCAGCTTCTAAGGGGGGGTTCCATTTTAGGACCAGAAAATGATATGGTTTATACATGTTTATACCCATTTTCCGGATCCTAACGGTGCTGCTTTTTCTATGGTGCTCCATGGATCCCATCAATATACCCCCAATATTGTTAGCATTTTTCTACCAGCACCAGCCGGATCCGTCATGGGTTATGGTTTATCATGGGCTCCATCCATCGATGACTGGGGGGTACCATGACTTAAAACAAAAACAATGACTCCTCTGCCGCTCTCAGATCGTCGGATCAACAGCCATGCTGGTTGCATGGAAAAGTTCCCGAAATACCCGGCCTGGTAAACAAAAAAACGATGAAACATCACCATTTTCCATGGGTAAATCGCCATTTTCAATGTTTAAATCAACGAACTTTCGACTGGGCCATGGCTTCCAGTTCGCAAACCGTGAATGTTTACCAGAGGGTAGATTCATTCAATAAAACACACCGTTCAACATCCCTGAAAATCCACATTCAAAACCACCTTACAACCTTACAATCAATTGAACATATTGAAACATCTATGAAAATTAATCATCCCAAAAGCGGAAATCCATCCAAAACTCCCATAAAAAATCCATAAAACACATATCTTCACATGGCTCTTGCCTTCAAAACATGGTCACCAATCATGTCCTTTTGGTATACCATCTATCATCACCTGTTGTTATATAAAGGGGTTTCTTCAAGCCCCTCTTGTTTCATCAACCAAGGACAGAAAAGGACATCTATGGTCACTTGAACATACTGAGGATTAAGGGAAATCATCTATAAATAATCACTATCAATATCAATGGGGAATCATCAATTCTATAAACAATCATCTATAAAATTCTATAGGATTCAGGGAAATCATCAATGATAGAATATATATATATATATCATCTAGTGACCATATATCATCTATAATCATCAATGGGGAATTTCGGAATAATCATCTATAGAATTTCATCTATCATCTATAATCATCTATCATAATCATCTATAGAAATTTGAAATCCATAAAATTCTATAAAATTCTATAGGATTCAGGGAAATCATCCATGGGGAATTTCGGAATGTCCCTTTACCATCTTTTTCTATGGTCAGCTAGATATGGTTGACTTACCCTCTGGTGAACAATTACATAACGAACTGGAAAATCACCATGTTTAATGGGCAAGTCCACTATTTCTATGGCAATTTTGCCATATATATAGTGGATTACACCATATTACACCATATTTACACCACTATATTTAACTATACACCAATTTCCATAACCAATTTTATATGGTCAGCGAAGTTCCGCCTCGGCCAAGACTGGCGCCGCGAAGTTCCGCAGGAAGTGTTCCAGGCCGCGGAGATGGGTCTGGAGATTCGGAAAATCCATGGGAAACGATGCATGTCTAGCACTAAAAATGGGAAAAACCATGGGAAAAACCTATGGATTTGAGATGACTTGAGTAATGAAACTATATGAAACTATAATAAGACAGAATAAAACCCCTGGTTTGGGCTTTAGGTGTTTTTGACCCTCCAATGTCATCAAACATGGAGAGTTAGTTCGCTGGGGATGTTTACAGCTAGCCACGTTTGACACCTGAGGGTCACTGGAGACACGGGAGAGAAAGATGACTCAGCTGATTTTCTAGTGAACATGCATGCTGCAATCATTTATCTTAAGATATCTGAACATGAAGTTCATGAACATGCCACAAAAAATAAGTATGGCACCTTTGATGATGTTCAACTATGGTGTAATTTGAACATCGAACTATTTTCATTGGTTCACCTCAGTGGAGGGTGGTGTTTCCCACATTTGTGGCCTACCCCTATGGAGGCGAGCCGGATGGTTTCTAAAGAACAAAAACATCTATAAATGGATGCTGATTTGGGGGTACCCCCATTTTAGGACATCTGCACTTTTTGTTTTTTTTGACATGTTTTGAAAACCAGCATTGAAATGTGATGATTTGGGGGTTCCCTTAACCATCAAAAAAATATGCCAACTTTGAACCAGGCGAATGGAGATTGAACTAAGCGTGAGGATTTAAGCCAGAAACCGCCTTGGAAGCCTGTAAGAAACCACTTCCTTGGAGGGTCTAGCTATAGAATTGCAACCCCCCAGAGAGATACACTAGTGAATTATCACCAATACTATACCATATTAATACCTAGTATATCCAGTATATATATATATATATCATTACCTAGCAGAAATAGTGTACCAATTTCACTATGACCCTAGTGTATCTAATATTACCTAGTAAAATAACGGGCAGGACTGAGGGTTGTCCCGGAATGGTCGTATGAACGTCAGTGGGAGGCTTATTTCTCTGCTTATGACTCTGGTACATCTATGGGTTAGTGTGGTCTAAGACGAATTTTGGGAAAAATCTGTCAGAAAAGTGAACCCTCTGCGGACTGCACGCGTTTCGGCCATTTCCACTTTTTCACTTTTTTTTCTCACTTTAATAGAAGTATGCGTATATGTTCCATGGGGCCTGGTGTTTTTCTAACTTATGTAAACCCTAAATGAAACCCGTAATAGAAGTTTGCGTATATGTTCCATGGGGCCGGGGAATTTTATAACTTATGTAAACCCTAAATGAAACCCCTAATAGAAGTATGCGTATATGTTCCATGGGGCCGGGGGATGTTATATCTTACGTAAACCCTACATGGCAAGATTCCTTGCTTTCGTCTTGTTGTTCTCTCCCCAAGTGGTCTCTTCGACTTTATCACGTCGCAAGAGGGCAAGTAGCTCTTAATCAGCAAACGTGCCTGCAACGGTAAATTATTCCAATCTCTACTGTTCCAACACTCCATGTCTCGAGCGTGTAGGCAGCAGACGTCACTGTGGTTATGAGAAGGAAATCCCCTGGCACTGGGATGATGGGACCAATGGGTTGCTAGCTCCGCTCTCGGGTATGGCCCTCCATACCCTTCGTCCTGTGGGTAAAATAACATACCGAGTTTTTTTTGTCTAGCTATTATCATTACCAGCTATTATTTCCCTGCAAAAAAAAACAAACGCTTGGCTAACATAGATATTCCTCCCCTCCTGTCCAGTTGGATGACCAAGATACGACATGTAGTTCTGCCGATAAAATACAAATCTGCTAGTTAATGGTGATATTTCAATAGTGATTATACACTACTAAGCGTTGATAATGTACTAATGATATTCCTAAAAAAAATACTATAGTAAATATAATCATTGTGCATTGCTACCTATGATATATATATATATAGCCCTATGGATCCAAGCACTGTCTGAGAAGGGACTTAACCCCCTAAATCATACCCCAGTTGTACTTCTCTTGCATCCATAGGGTATATAAATATATATTATATATTCTATGAACTATGTAGATATGTCATCATCTATTTCTACCTATGATACATTATATATATATATATGCAGGTTTCCTAAAATATGGATACCCCCAGTAATCATCCATTTATAGATGTGTTTTCTATCATAAACCATCCAGCTGTTGGGGATCCCCCATAGTACTATACTTACGATAGTTACTATTGTTGATATACCATATACTGTAACTATTACCATATATAATAATCACTATAGTATTACCATATTTACCCATATATATACATGTCATATATTGTTGTACTAGATATTATTCCTACAGATTACTAATGATACATCACATATATATATATATTAACATAGCGAACTGGGGAAATCACCATTAAAATAATAGGTAAATCATCATGAATCATCTATGTTACCCTCTGGTAATTTAACATAACTATGGAAAGATCCACCATTTTCTATGGGAAAATCCACTATTTCAATGGCCATTTTCAATAGCTATTTTTACCAGAGGGTAAATAGCTATTTTAAACAAACAGAGGGTACGTGCTGATACCCATGATCTGAGCTCCCTGGCCGAGCTATTTCGCAGGAGCCGGTACAGATACGCCAGACGCTTGGTGGTCTCGGGGCTCCGGACCTGGCCGTGGCGGACTATGTCACGTTAAGTCATCTTAATGGGAAACATAGGGGAAACGTAGGGGAAACATAGGGGAATATGGGAAAACTATGAGACACATATAGGAAACATAGGGGAAAAATATGGGAAAATATGGGAAACATAGGGGAAAAATATGGTTATATATTGGAACGTATTGATAAAAACCATGGATACATTGATATAGAAACCATGAATTCATGTTCACTTGTTCAATGGCTAGGAGTCTTATGAATATATATATATATGTATGTATATATATATATGTATGTATATATATATATATATTATGTGGGAAAAATATGTGTGAAGCACTGAGATCTTCGATGATTGTATGATAAACATTGCATATTTTTCTTTGATAGTACATAAAACAGTCAGTTCTTGAATATTTGGATGGTCTAGGAACATACTAAGATTATGGCAGGGTAAGCACTAAAAGATAGACAAGTTAAATCCTACTGAAATAGTTTTACATGCCTGTTCTGTCTTTAGGAAGTTACTGTCGGGTGAAAGTACCAAAATGATCAAGTAAAGACTGTATATATATATAACTATACTAATTATATCTATAACCTATATATATATATATGGTGGGTAATTGAGGGTGTGCTAACATTTGTAACCCAAAAAAACCCATCGATTTGTTCGGAGACATTTAACAGCTCCTGTTCCCCCACAAAGATTACATCAAGCTCCCAAGCTCGACACCAAATCCATAAATCCGTAAGACCATCAAGGTCTGAAGAGGTGAAAGGTGCAATAGTTCTGGCTGAATTTATAAGAATTCACCGACCTGGAGATGTTATAACATGTTGCCAGTTGTCCATTAAAATTGATGATTCCCCTAAGCACAATGGTGACCTCATTGTGAGCTTTGTGACCTAATCCAGCTGGTTTGACTTCCTGGCTTCAAGTTTTGAGTATTGGTGAAGCCTCTGGGGCAATGTCATATTCCACCTGGATGTACTGAAAGAACCTTGATCTTTTTTGGGAGACATGTCAGAGATTTGCGAGTTTTAACCAGGAAAAATGGGTCTGAGGCCACCCAATGTACCATTTCAATCCATGTCATGTTAACATCGCTATGGTAAATGTGATTTTCAAACACATCTCAGCTGAACAAAAACACGACTTTAATAAATTCGCCCCATGGGTACTGACCAGGTCGGGTAAGGATCGTGCAATTGTTCGCTGAGTTCCCAACGCAAGCGTCGTGCAAGATTCGTGCCTGACTCTCAGGTTTCTGTCAGATATGAGGTGCCCATAGCTAGTGAACTATAGCTGATTAACCTCAGATCACCATAGACATATGTGAAGCCGCGTTGTTCCCCATAGTGTTCGCGGAATCCTCATGGTTCCAGCGTGTCAGAGAGGGAGAGATCATCAGCACCCAGCCATCCATTTCATCATATTTCATCCATCACACAGAGAGAAAAATCACATCATTTTCAGCAAGGAGATCATATCAATCATGACCGGTGGACAAAAAAAAAATCCAGAAAAAAAAACCATGAAGCCATGACATTTTCATGATGCTTTTTGGATGGTTTTTGAATGAACCATCCCATCCAAAAATCGACAAAAAAATCAAAAAATTATCCAAAAAGCATCCAAAAAAATCGCCTGCTGCGCTGCTGTGGAAAAGTCTAAGCCCCGAAAGGCGCTGAGAAAGCCCGGGACCTCAGTGCCATTTTAAGGTGGGTCATCAGTGAATATCATGGGAACATACTGGGAAATAATGAAATATATTTATATATATATATATACTAATGGTTATGAAATGTTAAGAGTCAAAAGCCTGGTACATTTAAATTTAAATGGTACCTTAAGTCATAGCTCCCAAAATATGGTAATAATAGGTTTTGACCCATCCATATATAATTTAAGTAGATGGAGGTTTCCATAGTCAGGGGGGGTACTCCAATAGCTGGATTTTTGTTTGATGGACAATCCTAATAAAAATCATGATTCAGGGTACCCTGATCTTAGGAAACGTCCATTAAGAAAAAGGGAATAAAGGGGATAACCACCATGTCACATGCCATTCATAACTTTCATAGAACTATAGTATACTATAGTATACTACAGCAATATCTACAAGCATTGAAACCTGCTGTTGATATATATATATATATACTTGTTCACTGGTAATTTACAGCACCCAAACATTCTAGCCACGAACAAAAAAAGCGTTGTTTCCGTTGCCACTAAGTCCACAACATTATGTATCTAATTTATGTTCTTCACTTGGGATGTAAAAATATGACAAATGATGTAACGTTGTAAGATATCCTTATTGATTTACATCAACTTTAGATCAACTTATTCAATCTTACAAGTACATTCAGATACGCAACAGCTACCAGGCATATATCATTTAATATCATATAATACTAATTCTGTGGATGGGCCAGCGAAATCCGAAAAACCGATGGCTGAAAGCCTAATAAAATAACCCATGAGATAAAATCCATGGTGCTGCTCTATATGGTGCTCCATGAATCCCATCAATATACCCCAGTCATGTTAGCATTCTACCAGCACCAGCCGGATCCGTCATGGCTGAGATAGTCCCAGTTCTGGTGCGGGATTTCGAGACCAAGTCGACCACAGCGAGATGTGAATTTCACCGGGACTTTCGGTAAAGATAACACGAGTTGGTTGGCCCAATGATTTACCCGAAATTTGAATAGAAATTACCAATTATTACCTAACTAAATAATACTAAATATAGAATTTGGCCTAATTTATAGATTTAAATATAAAAGTTGGCCCAATTTATAGATATACCTATTGCAATCCTATTGCAGATGGTTCTTTCACATCCCTTTAGAAATGCCCAAAATGATGTTTGTATATTGAGCAAGATGCGGATATCAAACCAAGCGTTCTATAGTTATCAACGCGGGTGCAGTGGGGATATGTGTGTTTTTGTTGCGACCAATTCTGGGATGAACTTTTGGCTTCCTGCAACGATGGTGCCAATGATTGCATGATGATTTTTGTATCTTTGCATGTGATAAATGTGACATGATCACTGCACAAGGGATAAGTATCATTGCAGGAAACCATTTGTTTGCCACTTATCGTATGAAATCACACTGATGTATACTAATGTGGTAAACCCAAAAAATGATCATTCCCACTTTCACCAGAAATGGGTGGTAAACATCATCCCCAAACGGTAGGTTTACTGTTGGCTTTATCACATGAACATCCATTCATATTCCCATGCATATGTATACCTATAAATATATATATATATCAATATGAATTCTCATATCCACTTCCCATATAAATGTTGTGTTCATCATGTTGGATTTTCCTTTAAATATCATACTTCAATGGGAATAACAATTATGATATATCAATGAATTGGTTGACGGGAAAAACTTACCAAAAAGCCGAATTTTCGCCTACATTTAACATGGGAGTTTCCCGTAAATGTTCCCTTCAGAAAAATATCCCTACCTCATCTCATTGTACTTGTTGGTTGAAAACGGTTTCGTACTAAAATGGGGTTAGTTCATAATTCCCACCAACCCCACACACGTATAACTGCTTACAATCACCAACCAACCTACCAACCAACCACGCAATTCTTTAATTGCCCACATGATGTTCCACTCCCCAGTGAAATGTTAGTTCGATACCTCAACCAACTTAGCTATCATAAATCAGCCCGAAATGCCATTCCTTCCTATTCAATATTCATAATCCATTATAATCCCAATCGTCACTACCATAGTCTTTCTTGGGACTTAGTGGTTATCAACCATAGTCTAACTAATTGGATATATTAGTTCCCATAGTGAAGATATGGAGGTTTCCTGAAATGAAAATACCCCCAAATTATCCACATTTTTTCTAGGATTTGCCATGAAATAAAACATCCATTTTTGGGGTACCACCATTGATGGTTCCACCCCCAGCCATATGACGTTACCAGGATCTCCCCCCCTTCGAGCTCCCGGACGCCCCCGACGGGACGCAAGGCTTGAAGAAATTGAGCCTCGAATGTTAGGAGATCAAGGGATATATCTGTGTGTATTAGGATATATATACGATGTGTAAGATATATGTATAATTTGTATAATTTGTATAATTTGCATTAGGATATATAGGATGTATGAGGATATTCATGGGATGTTAACTATGGTTAAACTATGGGATATGGTGTGTATATATATATATACATATCTATACGTATCTATATTGGGATATCTATGTGTATTAGGAAATGTAGGATGGATCTGGGCAAATTATAATGATTCACTCACCTGAAACTTGCGGCCATTTTGGCATGGCAGTGAGGTCGTTACAATTTGCCAAGATTTGTCAAGATATATGTATTATTTGTATAATGATCTTAATAACATTAGTAATTATACATTAATATCATGTCAGATCATTTAAGTCAATGATGTTTAATGACAAGAACAGGACATGTTAATTGATATTTAATTGGCATCATACGACTTGTTTATGTTTATATTCACTCAATATCAGGAAATGTGAAGTTTCCATGTTTTTTGTTTCCGGGAAATAGAGGAATTGCCAAATGGTCCAGCAACAGGAACTATGCTAAGCCATGTAATTATATATATATTATGAATAATATGAGATGATGTGTAACAAATATGTTTTGTAGCTTCGAATACTCGTAGTTATAGGGTCATCCTTCTTATCCTATGATTTTTTGCTTAAACTAACGAGCGGTGGTTGAGTCCCTATTTCTTGTTGTGGAAAGCCTCTTGGCAGTGAGAATTACATGGTTCTTTTCATGAAAAATGTATCAATGGAGAAAGCTGGTGGATGTTTATATGTATCCATGAAAATCCATCTATAAGCGTCTAAAATCATCTATAACCCATAATCACGTCCCAAGTCACAAAAAAATAAAATAATAGTAATCATCATCATAAATAATCCATCTAATCATCATCTATAATCATCATCATGATCATATATATATATATATATCCCATCCATTATACATATATATGTTCATTATATATCGTCCTAGTCGTCATGGCCAGCGCTAAGGCGAAGCGTGTTGCACCCGTACTGAGCTCCCGTACCAAGCGTGCGGGGGTCAGCTCAGGTTCTTTCCTTGGCACTGGGCTAGGGTTAACTGGGATGTTGATGGGGGATAACAACTATACTTTGCTATATATATATATATCTGGGCAAATTATAATATTTCACTACAGTAACGTGAATTAAGGCCATTTGGGGATGATTTCCCTTAGTAACCGTGATTCCAGTGAGGTCACAGTGAGGTCGTTATAATTTACCCAGTATATATATATATATATGTAATGGGAATCTAACCAGGGTAAGTTGACTAGAAAGGTTTCCTATAGAAGGATAGTTGACTGGGTCTTTAAACTAATAGTCATAACTGGGATGAGAAATGCCAAAAATAACGAGGATGCTTTACGGATGTTCATGGGGGATAGCAACTATAGTATATCTGGTTGGTGGTTTGACCCCTCTGAAAAATTGCTCGTCAGTTGGGATCATTATTCCCAATATATGGAAAAATAAAAATCATGTTCCAAACCACCAACCAGATATATTAGTTTGAGATTGGATACTAATGATTTAACTACTTGCAGGATCATCGCATGGATCCTAGCAGCTAAGGTGGTTAAAGATCACCATGGTTATAAGCCGGTTGACGAAAGCATCGAGAGATGCTACATGTGGGGAGTAAATTGGATAAATATGGAGGTAAACACCCATTTACTCATAATTGACCTTTAAAAGTACACCATCTTACCAATCTTACCAAATCTGACCTATAAAACATAAATATGTTTGGGTACTTCGGCTATCATTGACCTATAATTGGCCCGAGCAAGCCTGTTTGGCCCCAATTTATGGATGACAATCATCTACCCATCTCTTCCCTATAAAATCGCCACAACAAAGTGGAGTATCTCATGACTTCCAAACAAAGACCCCCAAAAATATTGTTGGTTGCTGTGTATGTTCCATTATATCCCCATTATGCCCATAAATTCCAATTCAATTCCAGAAATTTGCTTCTATGTGCGGTATTTTCCATAGTTTTCCATTTCTTCCCATTGGATTTTCCCCATATTTTTTGCGCAATTTGACTCTCAGGTCCGCACCCTGGGTGGTTGCTATGGTTCACCGTGGCCTTCAACCTTGGGACAGCATGGGACAATAGCATCTTCAAACATCAAAATGTCTGGTTGCTGAGAGATTATATGATATATATATATATATATAGTGTATAATTATATAAAACAAAACATATATAATAAATAGAGTGTGTATATATATATATATATATACAACACTTTGATAAATTTTGATAATTGTTTATGGTTCTAAGATGTTATAAGCATCTTCAAACATAAAAATGTTGGTTCATGTTGGTTCTTCAAAGTGCCCCTCAAAGACGTGGTGTTTCGATCATGATTTGGAATGCAATTTCTATGAGCTAATACTAGGATGAGAATGACATGGATAAATTGTTTTACTGGTTGGTGGTTTCAACCCCTCTGAAAAATATGCTCGTCAGTTGGGACTATTATTCCCAATATATGCAAAAATGAAATTCATGTTCCAAACCACCAAGCAGTTTTACCATGATACCAGTTTCATTGTGACAACTTCCGGGACCACAGGCAGATTCCATGCCTGTCCAGACCTTGAGATACGTGGTTCCACGTTCTGGGAAAAATGCCGCTGAAATCCGACGTGATGATGGTTCATGCCCATATGGAGGTTTCTTGAAATAGGGGTACCCCCAGTCATCATCCAAATTTTAGATTGGGATTTGCCATGAAATAAACCATCCAGCGATTTTTTGGGGGTACCCCCATGACTATGGAACCCCCATATGATTTAATCTGATTCTAAGTGGAGCACATCTCAAGAAACAGTTTGTATAGATCTCCATTTATCGTCTGGTAATTTGTGACAGTTTGCGAACTTGAAGCCATAGCACATTTAGTTCGTTGATTTACCCATTAAAGATGGTGCTTTGCTAGTTCGCAAACTGTTAGTTTACCGTGTTCCATAGTTTTTAGTATGTTTACCAGAGGGTAGTTGTAGATCCCCATTTACAGCAACAACAATATGTATAAACTACTCAGCCGGACGGCCTATTTCATTGCGATATGTATCCGGGTATCCCTTCCTTTTTGGACCTTAAAACATCGCACATATCAAGTACTGATCTCAAGTATCCTATTGATATTCCCAGTAACATGCCAAATGTTAATGGTTAAACCATGTTAAACCCAATTAACATCCGTCCGAATGAAACCCACTCAAATCCATTAAACCCAATAAACACTCCTATAATAAATATACATATATGATCATAATTATCATACACTCAACAACAAACTCAAAAACTAAGTATTTTACTTCGAAGGAGGAAGGAAGGAGGCAAGCAACATCAAGCAACTCTGATAAAATCGAGAGACCCCCTGGCAGGTGGGAAATAAACATGCAATAAAGATTCCCATATAGGACAATCCTTATGATAACAAAAAGTAACATATAACCTATTTAAAATATGTTAAAACATGTTAAAACCAATTAACATCCAGATTAACATCTATAGCAACTGTGATAAAATCGAGAGAACCTAACATGGCAGGTGGGGAATTAACTACAAGCATCCAATGAACATGTAATTTTTGGTTTAGATTTGTGTAGATAACTAATGGATAGCATAAAATATGTGTATCAAAAATATGGTGTATGGTTAATGGATGGAGTAACAATGAAGATTCCAATAATAGATATGGCCTAATTATTCCATGAAATTCATTATTGGACTAATAGATATGGTGTATAGTCATTAATATCTGGTTGGTGGTTTCAACCCCTCTGAAAAATATGCTCGTCAGTTGGGATGATGACATTCCCAACTGAATGGAAAGTCATAAAATTCCATGGTTCCAGTCACCACCAACCAGTCTTTCGCTATCTATATCTATAGAATCTATAGTGATTAAAACATATTAAAACAGCAACATTTGGGAGTATTTTCATCCAACCAGACATGCAATAATACAGATAATCTATATCTATATCTTTATCCACAGATAATATGGGGAGTATCTATATCTACAGATTCCAATAATAACAATACCCCACTGCCTCGCGCCCAGAAACAATGCGCCGTTTTCCTCAATGGCCAGCAAGAGCCAGGTGACCTGTTGATGCATGGCCTGGCGCGGGAACTGTGGGGAACCGTGGGGAAAATGCCGGGAAAACGATGGAACATGCTGGGAAAATGGTGAAAGTGGACCGACCATGACATTGGGAACCGTCAGGTCGGGTTGGGTTTTTTATAGGTGGTTTTCAAAACAACACATTGAACCACCAATTTACCACTATTCTGGCAGGATTTGATATATCACATCAGCAGGTCTGATAGGTTTTCGGGCTAATTGCAATTCCCAAACCTGAAAGATTCACCCATTTTGCTTTGGTTTCCCACATATGTACCCTCCAGCAGATCAATGGATGGAAAACCCACCATTTGTAGATCATTTATAGAACAGAAAACAATAATGAATTTCCAGTCCCAATTTTCGATCCAAATACTAGCTCCGTTTCTGAAAAATTGACCCGCAATCAGAACTCTTCGGAATAGCATGGACTATCCATTCATTTCCCCATGGTTTTGTTGGATGTTTTTGAGTCCCGATTTTCCATCGATTTCCAATGGATTTTCCAATGGATTTTCCATCGATTTCCATGGAGCAGGGCCTTCCAAAGTCGCACAGGTTCCTCTCCGCGATAGTGTCGATCCCCCCAGCGCCTCAAAGGCAGAATGGGGTACGTTTCACTGGGGAAGAGTGGCATAGTGGCATTCCAAAAGACATAAGAACTACATGGCAAAATATGAGAAACATGGGAATATGTGGGGAATATCTTGGGAAGATTATGGAATATAATTGCATTTAGTGGCATTGACATATATTTTTACTCATTGGATCTAATTGGAAAATATTGGGAATCATCCAGCAAAATATATGGCAAATCATGGTTTTTTTTTGGGATTCACCTTTCAGTTCCTCCTTTCAGTTCCTTCCACACTCATGTTAGTGGAAACCAATCTTCCAACCTCCTATTTGGCAGGGTTTATGTCAATTGGAAGGATGGTATTTATTGAACTTGGTTTGATTGGTGATTCACCGCCACAAAAACAATCCGCTAGAACTGGAGGGGAACTCGGCCTTCAATCGTCCCTTGGACGTGATTCTGTAAGATGGCAAACATTGGCAACGCATTGAGCCCTGAACAAAGGCTGACATAAGCTGAACATATGAAGCAGGGCCTTACAAATTAGGCAAACCATGTAGCATTTCCCAATCTACCTTCTGCACCATCCTTTGAGGATGCAGCCAGTTCGATTCACCATCCCAGTCATGACGTCGATGCATACAGCCATCAACCAACATGAAGCTGAAACCACCAACTTTCATGAACTTCTCAACCCGAATTCTTGATTTACATGTGGAGCCGCTCATAGTTCACGGATTAGTTCACTATTTTTTGATCTTTGGATATCTTTGGATAAACATCATTCATTTCAGCCTGGCAGAATAAAACAAACAGAAAAAAAAACATCGAACAATCCATGCCAAAGCGACACCAAGGTGGCAGCAACTGCTTCCAGGCCATTCAAATGTTCCACCTGAATGGCGCCGTGACGTAGATCACCCACGGATTTTGTTCGTGGTAAATCGAGGTTAACCATTTCAACTAAAATCTCATTGAAATCACCATTCAGTTTTCCCCAATCTTTCGTGCTAATTTCATGTTGATTGAATGAGATTGAATGCGGATATTTGATGTTTTCCCATCAAAACTAGTGATTGTCCAGTTCGCAAACTGTGAGTCATTACCATGGTAATGACTCACAGTTTGCGAACTGGAAAATCACTAGCTTTGATAGGTCAATCATCTATGAAGGTGCTATTTTCATCTATGTTCCATAGCTATGTCAAATTACCAAAGGGTATAGCATGTCTATATCCCAGCAATAAGACCATGTCATGCCATATTTCCTTCACCAATTGGCTACCATGATATATCCGATGATTGCGGTTACCCTCCGGTAATCAAACAAGGAATACTGGAAAATCCACAAGCAATACAGTAGTTCGATGGTTTTGCCGGCCTAGGGAATTCCCCCTTTGTCATGCGTCTTACAATTTGATTACCGAAGGTATATCACTCACTCTTGTCCTTCACTTCCCAGTATATATATATATACAGTATGTCATGGGGGTTAGGTGGGGGCTATGGGGGGGGGTCTATGAGCTTATCATATAAGGTCCTGATAAGAGTTGGTTAGTATAAGCACCTATTAGGGTCTTATTAGACCTTTATTAAGGCTGGATAAGGGCTTATTAAGGCCTTACTAAGGGGTTATCATCTAAAGCCTTATTAAGGTCTTATCCCCATGGATAGCTGAACTTCCTTATCCACTGTTTATCCTAAAAATGATGGATGATGTAAGCCCACATCTGAACAAGGAAGAGGATTGTTTCTGGCCATCTTACCGTGGCGAAGTTTTTGTAGACTTCGCTGAATTCTAGACAATATGAGATCTAACGGTGGGTTTTGGCGATTGTCTTCAGATGTTTCTTTTTGGTTTTTGATGATTCTGTTTTTTTTTCGATTTTTTGTGTGATTCGTGTTTCATTTCCGTGACGTTTGATGTTTTTCTGTGATTTTGAGTGGTTTCGCATGGTTTTTGGTTTGTATAATGTTTTTTTGAGGATTTGTGTGGATTTGGTGCCCTGAAGGTCATTTTCGGGGGGGGGGGTCTATGGTCAAATAGGTGCTGTTTCCCTGCTTATCCACTGCTTATCCACCACTTAGGGTTAAGCAGTGGATAAGCCCTTATTAAGCTCTTATTAAGCCCTTATCCTCTCACCCCAATCCAGGTCAAGTGACCCATTTGCGTGCAAATTGCCTGCCTTGGGTGTCGCCTCCCCGCTTTGAGTCTTTGATTTCTTTTTCACTATCTTGAATACATGGGCCATGCGTTTGCCAAGAGACTGTCTATCCCTGGAGATGTAAGTTGCATTTTTGTTCTTGCTTGCTTGTTTCTAGCAAGCCTTGCCCATGCCACTCGAGCCAAATCCTGGTACCTCTCAATTTTGCAATAAATAACAACACACCAACCTCTCCAAACAGTTCTTGCAGAACAGAGTCATCATTGGCTTATCCATAGCTTATCCAGGCTTATCCACAGACCCCCCCCTACCCCTCCCCCCCCATAACCCCCCCAATTTCCATGAGTCGTAGACTATGCATAGTAATAACACATTCCAATATATATATATATACACATAATGAATGCATAATATGCAATACCAAACCAGACACTGACATTGCATACTAACATCAAAATAACAACACAAAACATGAACCTAACAATAACATACCACTACATACCACTACATACTACCATACTTATACATTACCATACACATACATACTACATACATACATACATACATCAATACTACATACATACTACATCACATCCATACCTTACTACATAACATACATACGACATCCCATACATACATAACACATAGATAATACCTACATCATACAGACATCACTACATACTACCTACATACCATACCTACATACCATACCTACATACCATACCTACATACCATACCTACCATACCATACATACCATACCATACATACCATACCATACATACCATACCATACATACCATACACTTAACTCATACATATACCACTACATCCAATTAGCCTACGTACAAACATAACAAGCATACCATAGCACTTACATTACATTACATAATTTGCATTAATCTACCTTGCCAATGCATGCCATACATTAAATACACTTACATATAACTACACTCACACTACATTACATTACATTACATCTGCAATGCATTTCATGCCTCATTACCCCATTACAATAACATTACAAACACTACACTTACATTAGCACTACACTACACTACATACACTTACCATTCATTGCATGCATTCATGCATCCATACATTACATTAACACTTCATTTCAATTACGTCTACATTTACCGGATCCTACATCACATTGCTATTACATTATTTACATTCCATTTGTCATTCATTCATACATTTACATTACATTACATTACATTATATTACATTACATTACATTACATTTCATTATATTACATTACATTACATTACATTGCATGCATGCATACGTACACTAAATTACATTACATTACATTGCATTACATTACATTATATTACATTACATTACATTACATTTTATTACATTACATTACATTATATTACATCACATTGCATTACATTACATTATATTACATTACATTGCATGCATGCATACATTACATTACATTATATTACATTACATTACGTTACATTACATTTCATTATATTACATTACATTACATTACATTGCATGCATGCATACATACATTACATTACATTACGTTACATTACATTACATTACGTTACATTACATTACATTACATTTCATTACATTACATTGCATGCATGCATACATACATTACATTACATTATATTACATTACATTACGTTACATTACATTTCATTATATTACATTACATTATATTGCATTACATTACATTATATTACATTGCATTACATATCATTACATGACATTACATACATGCATGTAACTGGACCAACTGTCCAGTTCACTGGTAGCTCCCTGCAAAATCCCTCGGCGTCAAGGAATGGAAAATGAAGTAGTTCCCAAAGTAGTTCCAATGATGGTTCAACCAAAGATATTGAAAGGAGTCCTCTCCCAGTTTCCAGTAACACCAAGCGCTACGAATGGCAGCCTATTTTCTCCCCACGGTTTCTGCGTAATGGGCCCTTGAGCCATTGGTATTGGCAGCACTGGAAAGGCTGTTGTGCAGCACAGGACCGCGGCAGCTGACATATGGAATGCTGCATGAAGCCCCAACACACGACAATCGAATGGGTTAACCGGTGATTTCACACATACATACATACATACATTACATTACATTACATTACATTACATTACATTACATATATATATATATAGTATCATGATTCCCCGGGCCATGATATTCCCGTTTTTTCCCAATTTCTGTTGCGCCTTATTCTTCACCAATTGACCAATCTTCGCCAACGCTTCGATCACGGCCACCTCTTTGATGCGAGCAGTGTGGAGCGCCTGCATGCTGTGGTGCAAACGGCAAGGTCGAAATCCTGGGTGATTTCCATGGGAAAACCATGATTCAAACTCATGCGATTTGGTGATTTATATACGTTTCACTGTTTACATCATTCATTGTTTTTTTGAATAAAAAAAGGTCAACGATGTTGTCATTACCATACAGCACCTGTTTTCGATGGAAGACAATGGTCAGATACAGATGACCAATTTACCCAACTGTGAATGGAAAAAACGAGATGAATCATTACCCTCTGGTAATTTAACATAGCTATTGAAAATTGCCATGTATAGTGAGTTGTCCCATTAAAAATTGTGATTTTCCATAGTTATGTTAGTTTACCAGAGGGTATATACTGTATGTTTTGCTCTTCTTTGGAGATTCACAGAATATGATTATCAAATATCATTATGCGAAATCATTCACATGTGGATAATGTACTTATATGGATATGCTGGGGAATAGAACCGGGTACCCTCTGGTAAACTAACATAACTATGGAAAATCACCATTTTTTATGGGAAAATCCACTATAAATGGCCATTTTCAATAGCTATGTTAAATTACCAGAGGGTAAGAGTTGGGAAGATCTGGCGATTTGGCATATGGTTTGTCCAAACATGGGAGGATGAGGATAGCCCGTAGGAAAGAATGAGGTGTCTGGTATATACCTTAAGTCAATGTTCAATCTAACAAAAGTAAAGAAAACATATGCATTGGGATAGTATATCCCTGTATATATGCAAACATCTCAGGGTTTCCGAAATGGGAAATCCCCCAGTCGTCATCAGTTTCCGTACTCAGTCATGGTCATGCCTTGGATCCACCAGTGGATCTAGTCATGGCAGCGGCACGACGGACATCCCCGAACTGAATGGAGGTTGACTTCGCCCGGAAAATCATCGATAAATAGGTCATTTTCCGCTAGCCGCTGGGTTTGTTCTTTGTAGTGAAGAACAAAGTTCACTACTAAAAGAACATGTGATATTTGATGGATATTTACGAAACATGATTGTAATGATGGATATTGACCATTTCTTTACATGGGATCTGAAAAAAGGTCCAGTCTGCTCAGAAGTGTCCCTCAGCCATGCCATCTGCTCAGGATGATCCGTGCGATCTGAAATCATCCGGTTGGTGGTGGCCCAGTTCGGTAGCTAAGTTGGTGCCAATAAGTCCAATGTCACTTGGGTTTATGGTAGATATCCCATGAAATGGGAGAAAGTCTATGGGATAATGTATGGGATATTAATATTATTAATGGGATAATATGGTGAAAAAAATCAATAGATATGGTGTATGGTTATTAATATCTGGTTGGTGGTTGACCTACCCCTCTGAAAAAAATATGCTCGTCAGTTGGGATGATGACATTCCCAACTGAATGACAAGTCGTAAAGTTCATGTTCCAAACCACCAACCAGCTATGGTTTATAGGTGATATACCTATAGTGAATGGGATTATAACCAATACTGAGGGGGCTATTGATATTGACTTACTAATAAGATTAATCCATTGAACTATTAATATGGACTCCCTGATATGATGATATTTCATGATATTTCATTGTTACTTATGATATGGAGGAGTCCTAAATTGGAAGCACCCCCAGTCCTCATCCATTTTATTTGACGATTTTCCGTGAAATTCACCAGCGATCAAGGGCTACCCCCAGGACAAAACGGAAAGCCTCATATATATGTCACACATTGTACTGTGGTTAAAACAATACTGGTTGGTGGTTGACCTACCCCTCTGAAAAATATGATTTCCTCAGTTGGGCCTGATTATTCCCAATATATGGAAAAATAAAAAATGTTCCAGACCACCAATCAGAACAATAAACCATCCCCAAAATCACCATTCATGGGTGGTATGGTTGATATTCCCAGTCATGGGTGGTTTATGACATTGTTTTACCCACAGAAAACGGACGATAATTTGTTGAGCCGTTGAACCCAAAATATAGGACGATCGCCTTTACAGTCATCCCATGTTACCTTCGGAAAAAGCCTTCGCCCACCTTCGCTGAATGACGTGTGCATTTCTGGGTTTCAAACACGCAATTTCCTCCAACGTGACTACTATTCTTTTGAGGCTGCAGTGAAACTGGTATTGCGAACATGATTTCAACCGCTGAAGCCACTGAAGCATCCCCATTTGCGGATCTTCTAATCTGGGATGCATATTATGATCCCCGAATGTGGGATTCACCCAATGCCATAAACCATCCCGACCATAGATGGGATAAACCGTCCCCGTGAGGTCTATCATTGGGACCCCATGGGATTTTCCCACCCAGACTACTGGTATCCCCGGGGTTTCCCTCCAGGCCGTGATGTATTGTGATATCTAAATATCTATTGCTTTGCAGGTGTCCAACTGTTGAACTACATTTTGAGGTTCCGAAACTGTATCACACGCATTTTCCAAAAACGACATGAGTTCCTCACATCGAAACCACGGAGTTTAGCCCTCCATTCACGGAACCTTGTGTTGCGCCAGCATCTGGGTCAGGTTGATATTGTTGAAGCCGTCCAAGAAGGCTTCCACGCCACCAATCTGAGTTCCAAAGAACATCGACAAAGTCAGAGAATGATGATAATGATGTTACATTAGGCTCCCCAAAGGATAGCTAAGTTGGTGTAAATAACTCCAATAACTATGGTTTATGATACTTGTTAATGGGGTTTATAGACCAACTTATAACTGAGGGGCCCCACATTGTAGGATGTGAGCGTGTATGTGTTTTTTTTTGTCCGGGCCAACACGGTTTATGTATATATATATAGAAATAATATTATAAACCATATTGGATAGGTATATATATATATATATTACCATAAACCAACTATAGAGATAACGTTCCATATACATAGTTAGTTTTTCTAGAGACCTATATTAGGATCAACATGGCCCCGGGATCATCAGCAGCGCGACCGCAGAAAGCGACCGAAATTGATTGATGATCCAAGGTGTGGTAAAGCCAATGGGATATAGCCTCTGGTCATGACTAACCTAGCGAACTGGAGAATGGCCATCAATGGCCATCAATTTTCAATGGACCCTTTACTAAGATGATTTTCCCAGCTATAAAGCTCCATGTATTTCATGGATTTTCCAGTTCGCTAGGTGAAATAACCAAAAGGTAACAGTAACCGACCATGGCTGCGGGCTATTCCAAATCTATACCCAAGAATTCCACGAATGATTCTGCCACGAATCTATCCTTTATCAACCATATTCTCGCATACTACCATCCGGTTATTTAACATAGCCATGGAAAGATCCACCCATTTTTAGAAGGTAAACCATCTATAAATGGGCCATTTTCCATGGCTGTGATAACCAGAGGGTATATCCCATTATGGCATTGGCTTTGATGAAAATGGGACATGAACCAACGATTGAGACCTGGGCCTTTAGCAACAAAAAATCTGATGTGAGCCTATCAACACGGTTACCCTGTCAAACCATCATTTACAGTGATGTTGTGGTGATGTCATTGATTTAGGCATATATAAGGAGAAGTACTCCCTGGGAAACATTAACAGTTTGCTATGATATATGCTCCATCTAGTTGGATGATATGACAGTTGTGTTGAAACATGGTGATGATGTTCCACCCCCCAAACTGTTGATCACGTTGATCATCACCAGCGGGTGAATTGATCTATACATCAACCACATCACATATTGTTCATTATTGTCTTCTCATAATATACCCATTATTAAAATCCCATTATCCAAAATGACTCTGATTTCGTGACGCAGCATTGTGCAGAACAGCTATCAAAGCTCGCTCATCCTCATCGCTTGTGTCCGTCACCATAAAGATCTTGACACCTTGAAGCAAACGGATGAAGACCTTCCGGTGGATGCAGGGTTCATATCCCACTGCAACAGCCTCCGAGCTGAGCGGGACTTTCCAGGGCCGGGCGGTGCCTTCGGCTGGCCGTCCACGCTTGCAAGTGCTGCAAGGCGCCTTGTGCAACAGCTCCGATTTTCTCAACACTGGCATGAGATACCACTTAACATGATATATGATATACCACTTAACATCAAGTGGTATATCATGGGATTCACTTTTTCATGATATATCACTTAACATCCACACCAGATATCGTGCTCCATGTGATTCAAATCACCAAATCAATGTGATGTGTCCACATCCCATGATATTCATAATGAATAAGCAACGCATGTCTGTGATGTATACCACATCACCAAATCCAGAAATTCCCATGTCATACATCATCCAAAGTGAGCCATTAAAAATACTCCTATCCCATTGATGAAATATTGCTTGGTTGAAAACGCTTTCCCTATTTTATATGGGCGTCTTCATATTCCAATTACCAGGTAATATAGCTCCTGAACCAATAGCCAATCAACAAAAGGGTATAACTTCAAATGGCTCAATTGCTGTACAAATAATACCCATATCCAATATTAACACCCAATGGGTCCTATAGTATATCAGTATATATATAATATACATCCAAGTATTTGTTGGTGATATATATATATATATATCCACAATATTCCAAATAATACATCTACATCACTACATATTCCATATATATATATTTATCTAGCCATTGTTGCTTGAATCCTTCATTGTTGTTGGTATCCAGGTATTGTTAAGTGCCTAAGTGGTCCCACTACGTTTTCAACGCGCGCCTCTTTGAAGCGATTCACCAAGCGTTCACGCTGCCTGGCGCCAGAAGAAGCCGCACTTGGAATAATTATAGATACATACACTGTAAATACATTATACATTTATAATATGTATATCCATACACTTATATGCATTCACATATCTACATTGTATATTCATGATAGTTATGTCTATGTATATATAAGTTGCATCATGCTTGCACGAACTCGATGATTGGGACACATCCAGCGGCCTAGCAGTTACTAACCAACCTGAAATGAGGTGATTCTGGGATGATTCATGAAAAACTAACCATGATTCCAGTGAGGGAGAACAGTGAGGTCCTTATAATTTCTTCACATATATATATATTACTATATGTTTATAGTATTACTCAATTCACTGGTATATAAAAATGCATGTAGATGTTTTTTTTCTAACAAAAAATGGGGAAAATGCAAAATGCATGCTGTACTGGTACAACTGAGACGAAGCGGAGATCAGTAACAGAATCCACGGCGACCGTGGAAAGTTCCTTACAGAAGTCATACATCATGGCTTTGGAGAAAAAGTGAAGTATTACAACCCGTGATGATAACAAGTATTGCAGTATCAGTATAGCTTGTGAATTTTGTGTTATACATTAATCCCGCAATTGATTAGTTAAGTCACTGCATTGATGTTTTTGTTCAGCCATATTCGCAATAATCTACTGGGCTTGGTTGGACATCTGGTTACTAATGAATCCATGAAGTATCCGGATATGATCATATTTGGTGCTGAGCTACAATGTGTGTATAGACAATGTATATATCTATCTATCTATCTATCTATCTATCTATCTATCTATCTATCTATCTATCTATCTATCTATCTATCTATCTATCTATATATAATCTATATATATAATCTATATATATACACGGTAGAGACACGATCTGCTTCCTTTCATCTTTCGTGATTTAGATAACATAGAACAAGGACAAAAACGGTGCACATTTGGGGGAGGTAGCATGCATATATAGAAAACATGTATATATATATAATTATATATATATGGTATATGTATGCATTGCTTGACTGCTTCTTATCGTCATCTTTTCTTGCTTGAGGGGCCCAGCAAAATCAAACAGTTTGATCCCCAAACACAATCCCCATCGGCCCCATCCCAGATTCAATCAGTTTCTATGATCTTCCATTAAGAAAAACACACTATCAAGGGCCATTTCAGGAACCTATTGATTGGAGGTACCTACCGTATATAAGGCCGAAAAAAAAGGCCTAGATTTCAGGGAATATCCCTAGAAAATATGGCCAAACATATGGTACTAACGTACCTCCATCTGTTGGATCCTGAAATTCCCATAGTTAAACTATGCAACATGAAGATTCAAATGCTACGATCACCATGCTGCGACGATTCCCATCGAAAGCTCTGAGTTGATCTCCTCTCCTCCGAAAAATCATCCCACGAAAAAAAAATGAAAAACCAAGATGGATGATGCCTCAAAGTGATTAATGGTGATTAATAGCGATTAATGATGGCTAATGATGGTTAATGATGGTTAATGTGACAACGTCATAAATTATCTATGGGATAATGTATGGGATATTAATGGGATAATATGGTTAATAATCAATAGATATAGTGTATGGTCAATAATATCTGGTTGGTGGTTGACCTACCCCTCTGAAAAATATGCTCGTCAGTTGGGATGATGACATTCTCAATATATGGAAAACAAAAATGTTCCAAACCACCAACCAGTTATCTAAGCATAGGAATAACCGTAGAAACAACAAAATTAAGGGACTTGCTTCATCCTGACTTGACAGTAGAAACTGGTTGCTTTTCGGCTGCTGCATCTACTGCTGATTCTTGTTGCTGAACTCCCTGTGAAATTCACCAATTCATCTTTGCCTCATTCTGCTTGGGTCAAACCCCTGTTTCTCTTGCTCCAGTGTTTTTTTTCTGGTTGTGAACTCCATTTTTGTTCCTTACAGTTATGGCCCAACTAACAGTTATTTTTATGAGTTTATAATGATGTATTAAAAAAATTGGAGATACAATTCCTCATATTATATTCCATTAGATCCAGCTAAGTCCCATTAAAACACCCATTAAATCCAGTTAAATCCTTATATGAATCCCGTTACCCTCTGGTAACTTAACATTATAACTGCTACCCTCTGGTAAACTAACATAGCTAGTGAAAATGGCCCAGTCGAAATAGTGGATTTACCCATGAAAAATAGTGCTTTTCCATAGCTATGTTAGTTTACCAGAGGGTAAGTGCCATATATCTGTATGAAATTCATCTTTTCTGGGAGCATCGCCACCCCTAGCCCTGCACCGCGGTGCTTTGTTTTTCCCGAAGCCCGTTCAGTTGACGTGGCCTCAACGTGAGATCGTCGGCCCTTCGCTTCCTGATGGAAACAACGGGACTTCATCAAACAATGGTGATTTTACCATGGAGTTAACCAGGAAAACTTAAGATTTACCATGATATTACATGATATTACATGATTTACCATGATTTACCATCCTCTGAATTAACATATAAATGGAAAAAAAGTAACAAGGTTTGGACGAAAATGGTTTTCCAGCCTGCTATCTGGCAAGGTCTACGTTGGTTGGGGGAAGGATATTCATGGGGTACAATGGCTAGTCATGGTTTCCATCAAATTAAACGGGTATTCAGTGTCACATTAATGGGTAAAATAATCATGATTTCCATTATACATTCATGTCCATACATATATCGGGAAGATAAAGGTTCAATGTGTGCTGGCCAAACAAGACAATATGAATACTAAACCAACTATCGGGATAGATCAATGGATACAATCGTCGATATTCATCGTTGATTCTATGCCATGGCTTGGGGTTTGGGGTAGCAACAGCAATTTGAGACTGAAGCAACAGGAACTGGACATTGTGATAGCAATTTACAGAAAAAAAACAAGGTGGTGCCCCGACGACAGTCTAAAAAGTAGGACTTATGCTAGCTATATCTATGCCCATGACGGATCCATGGTGCTGCTATATATGGTAACATTGATCCCATCAATATACCCCCAATGTTAGCATATATACCAGCACCATGGATCCTATGGGATATAGAATTATCAACCAATTTGTAACTGGGGGGGCACCACCTTGTAATAATTTAGCAAGCAACATGTGATATTGGTTTGTCGCAAAAGACTCGAAAGGGCCGATTTAACCCACAAACAAATGGGATACAGCGGGATGTACAACCAAACAAATGAGAATCATGTTGTCAAATGACATGGGGTACCATTTCAGCCAACAACGATTCGGGACCTAACTTATAGTGATTGGTATATATATATATATTGGGTATATCAGTCTTTATTCATGGATATTCATGTGGACGGGATGAAAACATTTTTTCAGCATTACACTGAAATAGAATGGGATAAAACAGGATGTTTTATCAATATTTGTCTAGGTAAAAATCATGGGCCAGTTTGGTACACTATGTATTTTTGTTAAGTATCATCTAATCATCTACCTGTTGGTTAATGAAATGAGGGGAAACAATAATTAATCAACCGACCAGTGGGAAACGGATATTGGAACTCCATGACCCTGGACCAACGACTGTGCTGTGTATAACAGCACAAACCACTTAGTACCCAAATCATGTCACATATTCATATGTATGGTTATTCCAAGATTATCATGAAGTATCATTGAAAAATATTCAAATGATTCAAATATAAATATATATATATACATGTATATATATATATATGTCCTAGGGCTGATATATTTATGATTCATATCTTCATATATTAATGGTTGCTTCTTCGTGAATAAACTTAACTGCATACATAAATCAATGAATCATGTAAACGTCCCCATGAACTTAAGCAATCCGAACATGATTTTTGGAACTTATTCAATACATTGACTAATAAGACATATCATATCATATTATTCAAAACATCGTAAATCCCACGAAATCCTGTGGATGGTTACGAAATTCGATAAATAATGGTGCAGGATTTCGCAACCATCCCATAAGGTGGTGGCCCCCCAGTTATAAGTTGATAATCCTAAAACAACTACAGATACTGGTTGGTGGTTGGGCCTACCCCTCTGAAAAATGATGGAGTGAAAGTCAGTTGGGATGATGAAATTCCCAGTATATGGAAAGTCATAAAATTCCATGGTTCCAGTCACCACCAAGCAGTAAAACAACTATAGATATAACTACCATAAGTCTTACAAAAATTAGACTTAGACATGCACCAACTTACCTACCCTCTGGTAAACTAACGTAACTATGGAAAATCACCATTTTTAATGGGTAAATCCACTATAAATGTGCCATGTTCTATAGCTATGTTAGTTTACCAGAGGGTATCTTGGGGGCAACACCTTGCATGATATCATCCCCCTCAAGCTTTTGCTGCAAAAAAAGATCAGATCGATCCTCTCTGCCAGATGCGAATGGAGCAGCTCCTCGCTGCGTTGAATGGGATTGATATAGATTTACTGCTAAAACGCCAAAGAGTTATTGTTATTTTTTATGGGTTTATTTCATGATTACTTTTCACCCTAGTTATGAGTTATAATTCCAATAATTTCAGTTATAACTGTAGAACATTGAATGAACATTGATCATATTCAATGGGCTTGATATAATTTTAATGACATTTGATGGCTTCAATGGGTTTAAGTCATTCAGATTATGATCAATGGGAATATCAATTCCACGATATCAGCATCGATCATGTGTATATATATATGATGGCATGCGAAAGTCATGCTTGAAAATATATGTATTGGAAATATGGCAGTAAAAAAGGTGGCTTCAATGGGGTTGATATAAATTTAATGATTTTCCGCTACCACGCTTGTATTCAACCAAGAAGACTAGGATTGATATGGTGAAAAAATGTGTTTTATAGGTTTATAAATGGAATACTGATTGTTATGATAATGGTTTTATATAGATTTAATGGGATTTGTAGGGATTATAGTCCAAGGAAAACGGGATTAAATGGGAGTGAGTGACCAGTGGAAAGATGATATATATATATAGATTCACTATGGTTAAAACCAAAAAAATATGTCGAGATTTATTTAGTTCCACCATGAAAATGCAGGGAAATTATTTGGTGGAAGAATCTTCAATACCATGACAGGTCACGGGAAATCTTCAAGCCATGGCCCATGGCTTTTGGATTAGCGGCTCGCCGCCGTCAGCGCGCCCGCAAACGACGCTAGGGTGATGTTTTCATGATGACGCGGCGGAGTTCCAAGTTGTGTTTCTTGGTTGGTTTATGTTGGTTTATGTTCGCCCAAATAGTGAGGAAAACTTCGACTCCGCACGCCTTATGTAAGCGCCTTATAGATGGGAATTCAATAAGGAAAGGTCACTAGGCCAATTCTTGGGTGTATGGTGATCATAACTATAGTTGGGTGAACACAAACCAACAGTTCCATAATTGGAGGGGGTTGGCACCTTCCAGAGATGCAATGATATGGGTATGTCACAGTATGTCCCTAAAATACGATATTCTAAGAGGCGTAGAGTGTAGAGTAGCATGGTTTTAGTCAAAGCCATGAATTTTCCATAAAAGTCAACTGGGATCGTGATCGCATTGGGCTGAGGATCTGATGAAAACTATCACCGCCAAGAATCTAATAATATGTACCCTCTGGTAAACAAACAGTTCGCTATTGAAAATTGCCATTTACAGTGGATTTACCCATTAAAAATGGTGGTTTTCCATAGGTATGTTAGTTTACCAGAGTGTACATTCCCATGGATGTTATTTCTGGTGGTAGATGTTGGAAAGTATATAACAAATATACACAGAACCTTCAAGGATAGGTCCTTCAGGATGCTGTCACAGTTGTATAATACAGTGCCAATCTTGCATACATCGTACACTGGGCTGAAGCACCCAATTCTGACTTAATATGGCCATAAAGTGGGCTACTCAAAAAAAATGCGTATGACTCCTGAAGAACATCGCAAATATAGTTCCATAATGTTCCATATAGTTCCTATCATTCTTGGTTTAAAGATTGAAAAATCACATATCAAATCATATCTCATGATATCGTCCCTAGGCCATCTCCCCGACTCCTCGTCCAGTCATTGGACCTTTTGGCTGAGTATAGCTTAACCCATACAGGCGACTGGGGATCCCCCATTTTAAGAAACCCCATATGTATATATATATATATATATTTATACATATTTATACATATATATATATATATATTTATGGAGGTTTCCTAAGTCATTACCCCCAGTCATCATCCATTTTAGATTGGGAAAACTTCCCTTTTTTTTAGCCATCCAGCTGGGGTACAGTCCTCCAGCCCTTCGGCGTCATGCACTGCCAGCCACCAGTCCTGAAAGCGGTCTCTCGGAAGATGCCCCCGTCTGTTGAAGTTGCTGATTGGTGAACCGTTGGGCTTATGGTGACCTTATGGTGGTTTTATGGTGGTTTCATGGTAGTTTTATGGTGGTTTTATGGTGGTTTTATGGTGGTCGTGAAAGACCATGAATCATTTTGAGCCCGCAGATCCTTGAATAATCTGCAAATCAGTTTCTCCAGAATTCAGTGTCACCCTCCAAACCCTCCACCGATCTCTCGGCTGATCCACAGGGCCATGATGACGTTCCAACATGTTCCAACATGTTCCACCAATTTGGGTAAGGGTCAATACCAACTAACTCCAACCAAAAAGGCTTGATGAATATCCAAACATGCGTGCCATGAATTAGCAGCATCTTCGGTTGTACAGGATACCAGAGTTTTGACCCATTTTCGCTTCACGTGATTCTACGGACATTAACGATATGTCATATCATCTGGGTGTTTCTCAAAATTTGGTTGCCCCAAAATTGACCCTGAAAAATGACGAAAATTATGACGAAAATTAGATGTCATAGATAATTTTACAATATTATTGTCGCCAAGATGGTGCGTTGGCAATAGCAAGCGTGAAAGTCAAAGATGAGATTTGGTTTCTTGGTTGTCTTTCAAATTCTTTCAAACACATGGTGAATGCCTACACAAAGCATAGAATCACCTGCCTAATATGAACCTATTATTTTTTTGAACATGAGCAAATGTTCTTGTTTTTTGGTGAGTAAAGTGATCGATGGAGTCCAAACGCTCAATTTCCCATTGTTCGGTCCGCCAGAGGCCACTCTTCCACACCATGCCATGAACTGCACGGTGCCAAGTATTCTTTTCACATTCAGGCTGGCTTCGCAACCTTCATTTGCGTAGGCGGACGGAAGTGCTTTTTTTGGCCAGTATGGGCTATGGGTCAACGTATGTCAACGTAAACATACCCGTTGGGCAACGAATTGGAGGGGGTACCACTCAAAGGACAACATCTATGTGCTGCTGGAGGTCTGGAAAATCTTGATTTTGGCATGTTTTGACCTACCTGTGAGCACCTGATTCCATCAGCAAATCGATCAGCTCAGGCTGGCCTATCTGTGTCGCAATATTCACCGCTGTTACTCCTTTCACTGTGACCTGGTTCCTATCCGCACCTGCCTCCAGCAGGAAGCGAACGACTTCTATGCGGCCACTTTCAATTGCAATGTGCAATGGCGACACTCCTTCTGTTGTTGCTTGGTTTCTGTCAGCACCTGCTTCAAGCAGTAAGCGAACAACTTTAGCATGCCCCCCCCGAGCTGCCAGGTATAATGGCGATATCCCCAACTTTGTGGCAGCCTGGTTTGTGGCGGCACGTGCTTCAAGCAGTAAGCCAACAACTCCAGCGTATCCAATCTGAGCTGCAATGTGTAGCGGTGATATCCCTTCCTTTGTCGCGGCCTTGTTGGTGTCAGCATTTGCTTCGAGGAGCAAGCGAACAACCTCGCTATGGCCACCCCGAGCTGCTGTGTAAAGTGGTAAGATCCTGAGTCTGGTTGCGGAGAGGTTCATGTCAGCACCAGCATTAAGTAGCAAACGGACAACTTCAAAGTGACCATTCCGAGCTGCAATGTGCAATGGTGATTCAGAAGCACCTGTTGTTGCCTGGTTGCGGTCAGCACCTGCTTCAAGTAACAAGCGAACGACTTCAACGTGACCATTTCGAGCTGACACGTACAATGGTGATTCAGAAGCACTTTTTGTTGCCTGGTTGCGGTCAGCACCTGCTTCAAGTAACAAGCGAACGACTTCAACGTGACCATGTCGAGCTGACACGTACAATGGTGATTCAGAAGCACTTGTTGTTGCCTGGTTGTCAACTTTTGCTTCTAGTAGCATGCGGATAACTTCAAGATGACCATTCTCAGCTGCAATCCACAATGATGTTTCTCCTCTGATGGTTCTTGAGTTCTTCTCTGCACCTGCCTCAAGCAACAACTGGACAGCTTGAAGATGTCCGTTCGTCGCAGCATGATGCAACGGCGTCCGGCCAAGATCATCCTTGAGGTTAGGATTCTTGGGGCATGCAAGCAACTTTTCCAGCGCCAGGACATCATTTTCTTGACATGCAAGTATCATCCTGTGCACTTCTTGCACATCCATTGGCTCAAATTCTAACAAAACCAAGCTGACCTTCACATGGCTTGAGTCAAAAAACTCCTCATCTGGAATCTCAGCACATGTGTCGTCCGTCACCCAAAAACGTTGTCGAAATCTGGGAACGCCAAGCTTCACCGCTAGGGCTTGCTTCACAGCCTTCGCTGATTTCTGGAGGAAGTCATCTGCATCAAGACATGCCAACCTTTCACCTGACACAGCTGAGCACACTTCCATTGGATTCGAAAATGCTGATACACAGTTCTGTTTTGGTCGCAATTCTGAAACAACCCCTAGATTCAAAAGGAGTGGCGGGTGAAATTTTGAACACATCTCCTCAAACTTCAAGACATGTCAAGACCAGCATGCCTCGTGCCGAGTGGTTTGTCTCCATATTGTTAATAATAGGTAAAACCAATAATGTGATAAAGCCAACGCAATAAACCCAGTCATGGTTGCTTACTGTGATGGCTTATTATTGATTCTGTATATCCCGTTATATTGTTGAACTTCCAACTCTGGAAAATTGACATAGTTGGCTCTGCATTGATTCTGCGTCTGAAAATACTGTGGCTCAAAGCCCGTCTTGGCCGCCATGCAATGTGTGACATGTGTGGCTCAAACAAATGAGAGTCGGAGTCCAAAAGTGCACCTTTCAAAAAAACACTAAGTCTGACTTGTCCTAGAAGTTGAAAAGACTGTATCTGGGACAACGAACAGCTGTGACTAGCTCTTAAGTGCTGGTTTTGAAGCCTTCCAGAAAAACATGGATAAACAAAAACCATACAATGCCATAAAGCACCATAAAACTATTACCTTCATTCGTTGTTTGCTCAATTTCCATTGACTGTGGAACACATTGCTTGGTGTTTTTTGTGCCACGTGTATTACGATTAACCAAAAACAACGACTCAAAGAGTGTGCAAACCGCCCTTTTCAGCATCTGTTTTTCCAAGTGTGTGATGGGTTCACGAAACATCCATGGCTATGGGTAACACCCCTGATCCCCGAGGGAAAAAAACCAAAGAACATGTTTTGTGAATGGGTGCTAATGTTTTTCCTCTTCAAAAAGCTACTGCTGTTTTTTTGGTGATCTCCAAATCATCACACCTGTTTCCCTAGGATTCTATGAAGGTGAAATCACTTGATTTAAAGGATATCCCATTGTGTTTCTTGCTCCACCACCGTGTTCTCCATTATCATTTGAAAAAAAAGTGTCTTCCCCTTTTCTCCATGATTATCTTGTTCAAACAAAACATGTTCTGTAAAACCGGTACCCTCAGGTAAACTAACAGTTTGCGAACTGGAACATGGCCATAGAAATAGTTGATTTACCCGTTCAAAATGGTGATGTTCCCACGTTTTTGGTATGTAAAAACCAGGCCGGGTCAGTCACCGGCGATGGTTTCACCCGTCCTCAGCGATCAGCTCTTGAAGCTTCTGGCGAATGACCACCAGACCTCGACAGCTTGCGCTGATTTTCCCGACGGAAAAATCGGATGGGAAGACCGTGACCCGGCCTGGGAAAGAGTGATTAATAGTGATTAATAGTGATCAATAATGATTAATAATGACTAATAGTGACTATTCAGGATATACCCTCTGGTAATTTGTGACCGTTTGCTATTGAACATGGCCATAGAAACAGTGGATTTACCCAGCTATAAAATGGTGAATTTCCATAGTTGATGTAAACGTTTACCAGAGGGTATTTTACCCTGAAAAGTTGGGGTTCTAACTAGCTAAGCATACATCATGGGCTATCATGGTAAATATCATGGCTTCGCGTTTTTACCAAACCAAGGTTCAACGGAATAAAGGATGAAAGCAGCGCCGAAGTCAGGTCAATATTTTATGACTACCCCCTGTTTTTTTAACCATAAGGTAGCTGTGGCCCAATATACAGTACATGATAAAAAAAATATGAATTAGCTATTAAATGGTTGATGGTTGACCTACCCCTCTGAAAAATATGAAAGTCAAATGGGATCATTGTTCCCAACTGAATGGCAAAATAAAATTCATGTTCCAAACCACCAACCAGTTAAGTATGGTAATTTTGCATTGCTACGTTAAATTACCAGAGGGTAGCAGGAAAGAATTGTGGTGTATTTACCTCCATCATCTAGATGATTTTGGGGGGTTGATACTGGGCAATAAAGCAGCACCATGGCCAATCATCTGGGTATGGATGTGGAATCGAAACTTGATGCCCAGCAATTTCCCAACAGTTCCTGGGTGAATATTCCAGTCATGATCAACCAGCATCTTTCCGTGGTTTTTTGCGTCAAGGGAGAAATGTCGACATCCATCGTTAGGGAGAAATGGCCCAAGGGTTGACACCACTTGTGCTTGGCCTTGTTTTCCATATATGTTTGTGCCAAAACGGATGATATTTCCAGAAACCGTAATCTTTATGAAAGATGTAGCAACTTGCCATAATCAATCATTTTCCACAACGAGACATTCCCATGCGAGTGCTATCCGAGTGGCAATGAAGATCTCCTTTCAACTTCATGAGGTCGACTCCCTTCAAGGCGTGCCAAAAGGCATGGAAACCCCCAGCCTGGAGTCACGTCGGTATTTCGATGGGATCATGGCTGGGAGCTTTCGCTGGGTGATGGTCCCATGGGAGATTTTCCATGTGACTAGCGGACGTGGTACATTTCTACTGTCCACCCAGTGTGAAGACTTCCAGAAGTTTTTTCACACGTTCAAAAAGTATTCCAGAAAACATGATAACTGCTACATACAGTTGAAGTACCATACAACTCTTACATACAGTGTTTTTTTGCTATGTTTTTGGTATCACAAACAACATCTACCAATTGGTAGCTCGTTTGTTGCTTTCAGTCGGGCCATTACCTTCTCTCAGGCTTAGCTGGAGTAGCAATCAATGAGGATCATAGTAAGAAAATCAGAGTAGATAATAGTGCTACTAACATGTTTTTCTCTATGTCTTTTGATTACTAATCATTAATAGTAATGTGAATATAATATAAAATATATAATAGAATACTCGTAAACATATGAACCAATCCTGCTGTTTAAAACGACCCGAAACGACCTGAATGACACGCTGGACGAAGTCTAAGAGCATCTCGTTGCGAATCCGACCTCACTCGACTAGCCGACCAAGCCAAGACTCGAGCCGACCGAGCCAGGAATGAGTCACTGATCCTCTGACTGTTTGTCTATATGTATATAGAATATATATATATATAGTTATCATATTTATTGTTATTAATTATATATAAATGTATAATGCAGTATATTATATACAAATTGATATCTTCATGGATGATATGATATACTGTATATATATATTATTGATCTCCAAAACGATAGAAGCTTTCATTCACAAAACTCATTGAGTAGGATTTGACTGCTCTATTTTCGGGTTTGATGATCTTGCTGTGTATATGTAATTATATAAACTACTCTTCCTAGCTTGAGAGATCCTGAGAGTGTTTGGCCTTCTTTCCCTCACAATGCCTAATGCGGTGATGAACTCTTTGACTGCAAAGCAATGGGGGTATGACCACGGGAACAATTAACAACCGCGTCTATGTTTACTCATCAGATTGGGGTACGGCCAACGCAAACTGGCCCTACGTTGCTGATTCAATCGTTTTTTTTCTATGTTTGAGGGTTCAATCCGCACAGTGTGGTGCCATTTTGATGTTTGTTGGTGTATAGCCCCATCCATGGCTGTCATATGCTTTCATGAACATAAACCCTAGTGCAGCTTTCCATAGTCTTTTTTCATGTTTCAAATGTCACTTTTGAGTCATCCGTAAGTGAAAAGGATCAATGAAAAATCAGCGATAGAGCTCGCACCAGCCTGCGCTTTCTCCGTAGCCGTAGGTAAAGGACAGTCTGGTCGGGCAGTCTGAGTCATTTATCTCACTCCACAGAAAAAAATATCCCTCATTCGATAGGTATATAACTTGGTTTCCAACTGTCGGCGAACGGTTGGATTTCTGGAGGATACAACGGTTGAATGTGTTTTTTCTGAATCAACTTTTGATGGGGTGGTCTACCCATCCAGTCATATCCAGTCAGCTTCCGGGAAACACCAGAACTTGCATAAGAACAACGCCAGCGGGTTTAGTCATTAGAACTTGCGAAAACCTTGTAACAAGTGCACCATGTCTGTTGCTTCAGGCTCGCGAAAAAATTGGAGTATGGGTCCGGGTCAAATTAACAAATGGCTTGACCCATCTATATGTTTCTATATATATATACACCCATGTGCATACATTAATATAGATAGGTATATATATATATATATTATTTTCCGTCTTCATATATGTGCCATGGTCAAAGGACAATATATTATAATTTCATTAATCGTACATGGTCATCCATCCCATGTACTTCGATGATTTTCTCATATTAAGTATATATATATATAATATAATATATAATAGTAATATATATATATATAATAAAATATAATATATATAAATATAAAATATATATATATATATAATATATATATATATATCCGTTGTGGAACAAACGGACCTCTTTGTCATCTCCGGAAAAACATCCTCGTCCTCCAAACGGCGAGCTAACCTCGCGGAGATCTCGGAGATGATAAAAACCGTGGAGGATTCGCCTACAAGGTGCTAGTTATAACTATAGCCATGGGAAATCACCATGTTTAATAGGTAAACCATTGATTTCTATGGGCCATCTATACCATGGCTATGTTGAATAACCAGAGGGTAATGGGATTATCAACCAATAACTCTAATTTTTGTGGGACTTATGGTAGTTATATCCATAGTTTTGTTTAGGATTATCAACCAATTTATAACTGGGGGGGCACCACCTTGTATGGATCAAAGAAGTTTTAGCTCAGCTGCCAAAAATCTGGGGAAGTATTTGAGGCTTCATCTCAAAAATCAGTGATAAGCGTAGATGGGTGTTCGGATGGGTAAGGTCGGTCCAGTTATAGCTGGGGTTATAACATTTTTTAACACAGTTAACGATTCTGGTGCCAAGCCAAGCCATGGTGAACACAATATGAACACCCCATGTTGGACTCGTTGATCAGCAACAGTTCTTTCCATTCCATTGCCACCACACTCGGTCCACGTGCATTCCAAAAGTTTGGCTTGACATCTTTGGCTTCTAGATGCTTCGAGCATGGTTTGGATATTTTTTTCAGCACCAATATGCACCCAATCAGATTTATTTCATGCTGTGTAGCCAAGATCAATCAACGTTGATTTATTGGTGGAGGAAATCGACCAGCCATCAGCCATCTGGTTGGTGGTTGACCTACCCCTCTGAAAAATATGCGCTCGTCGGTTGGGATGATGACATTCCCAACTTTTCATGGACAGTCATTCAAAATTCCAGTCGGTTCCAGTCACCACCAACCAGAGGTTATTATCCATTATTAACCATCATTAACCATCATTGTCCCATACTAAACCACCAACTGAATGGACAGTCATAGAATTCCAGTCGGTTCCAGTCACCACCAACCAGAGGTTATTATCCATTGTTAACCATCATTAACCATCATTGTCCCATACTAAACCACCAACCGGGGAAGTCATAAAATTCCAGTCGGTTCCAGTCACCACCAATGGACCAACCAGCTATAGATTTCACCGGCAAAATCCGGCGCCGGTGATCATCCCACTGGATGTAACATCTCGTAACGTATCCGTGGATGGATCCGATGCTCCAAGTACAACAAACGCCAGATATGTCGACAGCAACAAAAACATGATTAAACCCCGGTGACTCAGTGACCCGGCCTGGTTTTCTTTAACACTTTGCGAAGTGGAAGCCATGGTCCAGTCGAAAGTTCGTTGATTTACCCAGCTGGGTATGGCTATAGTTAGCGTCCCCAGAAACATCCAGTTTTACCACGAGGACGATATGATCCCGGTTAACAGCGATTATAGTTAACTGGGATAATATATGGGATAATACCTGGGATATCAGATATCACATGATATTACGTAGATCCATTATATCAAAGAATATATATCTCTATATCATATATTATATAAATATACCAGTGATATTATTCATCATTTATGAACAGAGAAATCGAAAAAGTCTCTGGGATATCCCAGTGAACTCCAGCTCCCCCGCAGCTCTCACTCGGTGTTCCAAGCCCTGCTTGTCTCAGCAAACTGACCACCTTCAGGAAATCGTCCACCTGGCAACAGATGTGTATAATATCCATACATAAATACATACATATATACATATATATACATATATAAATACATATATATATATATGTACATATACATATATATATATACATACATCTATATATATATACATATATATACACATATATACATATATATACATATATAAATACATATATATATATATAGGTACATATACATCTATATATATATATATACATATATACATATATATATATACACATATATATATATGTATATATATATATACATATATAAATACATATATATATATATACATATATATATATACATATATATATATATACATATATATATACAAATATAAATATATATATATAAATATATATATATATGCAAATATATATATATACATATATACATATATATACACATATATATATATATACATATATATACACATATATATATACATATATATACAAATAAATATACATATATATTTACATATATATACATATATATATATACATATATATATATATCTACATATATATATATCTACATATATATATATATATATGTACATATATGTACATATATATATGTATTTATATATATATGTATATATATATATGTAGATATATATGTACATATATATATGTAGATATATATGTATATGTGTATGAATGAATATATATATATATTTATTTATTTATATACATATATATATACGTATATATACATATACATATATATAATATAAATGTGTATGTATATATATATTCATACATATAGACATAAATATATATAGACATATATATGTGTATGTGTATGAATGAATATATACATACATATACATATATATATATACTATATGTATATATAACATTCTTTAAAAAATGTTTAGTATATTTTTATTGTATGTCATTCTATGTGTAAAATCTGTATACGTATGTATGCGTGTATAATAGTATCAGGTATATGTAGATGTATTGCATCTATAGTATATATATACACGTTCAAACGTATAATTATAGTATATGTATACATAAAATAACTATATGTATGTATGTTATATATCATGTAACGTATACATGCATACACAAATTGGGTACATCATGGTACATGGAGGCTGCACACGCGATCTGCAAACGGCTTGACAGGGGAGTCACATGGTTTTCATATTGATCCTAGGCATTGGGGGTCGTGGAGGTTGAACAAGTTACCTCGTTTTGAGGCACATGGTTTTCATCTAATCATACCATCTATCAAGTTGCCTACAAAATCACATCTGTTTGTATAATCTCAGGATTTCTAGGAGGTACCAGGTCTAGTCATGACCTTTTGCAAGATAGCAGATCTTTCCCATCGTCAAACACACCGGTTTTTTCCTATTAGGCTTCCCCGCCACAATACCTTGAAGGCTTTCCAAGAACCTGGGCGTGGAAGGTTTATATAAGTGGATTATAGCTATTTGTTTATATAACAAAACACTGGTAAATCGGATGGTTGCTTTCGTGGATTTGGGCTTTTGTTGATTCAAAAATGTTCATATAACATCATATAACCACGTCCCAAAACAAGTTCTTGCTGGTAGTCACAAATAGAATAGTTGTTGGATCTGTGCTGGGTATATCTACAGTTGAATGGGTCAAAGTAAACCAACTTACCCTTTGGTAATTTAACATAGCTATTGAAAATGGCACATTTATACATACTTGATTTACCTATTAAAGATGGTGATTTTCCATAGCAAACTGTTAGTTTGCCAGAGGGTATATATAACCGGGTAGCCCATCCAGTGATACTTCTGATGTGGCAGGGATGGAAGATGGGAACGGTGAGTTTCGTGGTGAAAACAACTTAAACACAACAAGTTTTTTTTGAAAAGTAGACGAAGTCAGGATTTGGATGGTTTTTTTTCTATGTGTCAAACTTGATGCCTTCAACCCGCTTTGGATTTTGTTGGTTTCACGCCGCGAATCATTCGGTGTGTTGATCCCATTCTGATAGTAGCTGAATGTCACTAACATAGAAAGTTTATAGCTTAGCTAGTGGCTGAATGTCGGTAAATCCATATGGAACACACCAAAACATAAACAAAAAAACAAATCTGGATCTGCTCGTGGAGGTGCAGTTGGGGTAACCAATTCCGCCACTGTGATAAGCCTCATGTTTCTTGGGATATGGGCCCCCTCTATATATGTCTAATTGGTTCGCTGAAACTGCACCCTAAGGGTATACCGGTTCTATCACAACCATAGAGACATAATCATAAGATGACTAAACTGGATCCAATATGATCTCAATATCCTGGGTAAATTATAATATGTTTTTACTAACCTGAATCTTGCGGCCATTTTGGGATGATTTCCCTTTTTTAAACCAGGAAATTCATGAAGGCTCGGGAGAACAGGGTTCGGTCGTGATCAATTTTACCCCGATATATGACACCCTCTGGTAAACTAACATAACTATGGAAAATCACACTTTTTAATGGATAAATCCACTATAAATGGCAATTTTCAATAGCTATGTTAGTTTACCGGAGGGTATATGCTCCATAAAAATCAATGGTTCCCATAGTTCTTGGAGTTATCACCAACTTTTCATGTTCCCAGTGACCTTTCCATCATCCGGATGATCCATGCTGGTGACTTACCGACTTACCGGCCCTGTGGGCCATTGTCAAACGTCGCCATTGGGAAATCACCATTTTTAAGAACGGTAAAATCAACATAAATCATCTATTTCTATGGGCCATGGCTTCCAGTTCGCTATGGAAAACAAATTACCAGAGGGTAAATCTCTGGCTATTTAACAGTTCGCCATGGTATAGATGGCCCATAGAAATAGATGGTTTAGCGTTCTTAAAAATGGGATCTTTCCAGTTCGCTATGTAACAAATGACCAGAGGCTATATTCCCTTAATCATCATTAGTAATCCATTAATCACCATGATTAACCAATATTAACCCATATTAACCCATATTAACCCATATTAACCATGGCTACAAATATTAAATCTCTATCTCTTGGCGAAAACCCACTCCGTTCTCGAGAACGGGTCCCCAAGCAGTGCAGGGCCACCGGAGCTCACCAAGATTCGGATCACCTTGCGAAGGGTGGATGGATGGCAATCTCCCCAATTTTGAAATATGAAAAGCTTGGAAAATCACCATTTCAATAGTGGATTTTCCCATGAAAAATGGTGATTTTCCATAGTTAGGTTGGAAAATCCAATCAATCCCCAAAAAATATATGAAAATCCAATCAAAATATATGAAAAAATATATAAAATTGTGTTTTGACTGTCTTTTTGTGGGGTCTGCTATACATATGACCAACGTCTGTGTTCTTTTGGCTTCCACATTTTCACCCACACCATCCCACACCCAAATATCATCACATATCATCCAATTTCAGTTCGTCAGAAATGCTCCCCATTGTAACATGATCTTTACATACGAATCCAAAAACCAGTTTGTAATAAAAGCAGATATATTACCAAAAACCAGTTACATCCATTTACCAAAACCAGTTGGTAATCCAAAAACCATGTTCTACATATGAATATTCTCTGGTAATCAAAGGTGGCTTGAGAGGTTTTTCTGGGAAATTCCTCAATGGAGGATTTTCAGCCACGTTTTTTCAAACGTCGAAGGCTAACCATCCTGAAGATATGGGTATGGGGTTTTCAAACATATTGCCATTTGTGTGTTTTTTGTTTGGTGACATTTCTATGTTATTCTACTCCGGGATGACTCTATATATGTAATATCAAGGTAAATTATATTCTGATGGACTAGAGAATGTCAAATGATCAAATGCCTTAACCGCTATTTCGTCAACAGGGTTACTCCACCAGAATCGGTTTTTCTACCTACAGAACTAGAGAGGCTACAGGACCCATGTGCTACAAATGGATATAGCAACCACTGGCACAAAACATCAATGGATAACAATGGATATAATTTCATCAGCAACCACATGCTAAACAGAACTGGATAACAATGGATGTATATATATATATATATAAAATCCCATCAGCCTGATTCCCTAAATACTGAATATCTCTGAATACCACATTGAAAAGGGCCCAAAATAAATATCCATACTTCCAGCACGAGGGTAGCGGGATGGACCATTCCATATCTCAGAAACAATATGTGGAACATATCCTTAAAAATTCCTTTAAAAGCAAACTTAAATGTATATCCACCGGAAATTATAATCCTGAAAGAAGAATCTTTTACCCTCTGATAAACATACAAAAAACTATGGAAAATCACAATTTTTCATATTTTATAGCTGGGTAAATCCACTATTTCTATGGCCATTTTCCCGGTACCTGCAGTTCTTCTGTCACTTTCCCTGGGATCTCTGGGATCTCGAAATCCCCGCCTCGGTCCAGGCTTTGATCGATTCGGAGAAGCCTCGGCGAGACGTCCCAAAACACAACACATTTCTGGCAACCACAGATACCCTCTGGTAAACAGATATAGTGATTAATAGTGATTAATAGTGATCAATATTGACTAAAAATGACTAATAGTGATGAATAGTGATTAATAGTGATCAATATTGACTAATAATGACTAATAGTGACTATTCAGGATATACCCTCTGGTAAACTAACAGTTTGCTATTGAAAATGGCCATTGAAATAGTCGATTTTTGAAAAACTGTGATTTTACATAGTTTTTTTTGTATGTTTACCAGAGGGTAATAGCACCTACCTAAAGCCATCCTCTTAATATGAAACATCCTGATCCAAGATATTCAAGACAAGATAGCTTATATATGTCTAATATCTTTTGAGAATCCCTTCAAGAACTCCCGCAGGCGCTACAAGAATGCGAATCAGAATACAATTCATCTGTGACCTTCGTATCTTTTCACACTGACCTTCTGCCAACAAGGGTCTTTAAAGTACCTTCCGATAATCAGACATGGCAATGGGAAATACTGTCCTTATAGATATTCGTAGGCATTTAAATCTGAAGTTCATCTACAAACAAAAAAATCTAACACGCTATGAATGACCAAGGATACAATGACTGGTTGGTGGTTTCAAACTCCCAAGACAACATATAGAAAGTCGCTTCAAGGATCGTCCCGCATAGGCCCCCAAAAAAGCACATGTTTTTATGTCTGGAAAAGCCATGGTTTTTGCAATCATAGTAATGTAATGGTAGGTGGGCAATAATGAATATTAATAAATCTATAAATGTGACTATCATATTCATATGCAAGAATAATATATAATTTATGTGTTTATGATTGGCAATGATCTATATATAAATATATGTGAATAATAGTGGGTTCTCCATATGTTACTCTCCTGGAGACGATCAAAAAACCAAGCTTTGCAATGGTTTTTTTCAATCTCCAACAGAAAGTGATGTTTCAAAAACTCCCTTAAAACCGGACATTTACTAAAAATTACCCTCTGGTAAACCAACGTTCTTTGCGAACTGGAACATGATAACATGTCCATAGAAATATAGACTTCGTTGATATTTTCCGTGATATAGCCAGCTATAAATTGGTGATTTTCCATTGTTTTTGGATGTTGAAAGGGTACCTGTGGCCCTGTTTTTTCCTGTGAGATTCCTGAAGATCAACTCCACAGCTTCGATTTTTCCAAACCACACCAGCCACTCCAGTGTTTTTTTTCCCCACCTGCCAGGTGAGGGTTGTTAGATTTTATGTCAGTTGCCTCCTCCTGCCTCCTCCTGCCTCCTCCTGCCTCCTGCCTCGTCCTCCTCCTCCTCCTCTCCTCCTCTCCTCCTCGTCCTCCTCGTCCTCCTTGTCATCCTTGTCGTCCTTGTCGTCCTCGTCGTCCTCGTCGTCCTCGTCGTCCTCGTCGTCCTCGTCCAACTGCGACCCGCGATCCACAGTGTTCTCTGCCGGACCTCAACCACGACCATCCACGCCCAGTGTTCCCTGCCGGACCTCAACCACGACCAGCCACGCCCAGTGTTCCCTGCCGGACCTCAACCACGACCATCCACGCCCAGTGTTCCCTGCCGGACCTCAACCGCGAGTATCCACGCCAAGTGTTCCCTGCCGGACCTCAACCGCGAGTATCCACGCCAAGTGTTCCCTGCCGGACCTCATGTAGGAAGATATGGGACAAAGAATGTGCAGAAGAAAGTTAGAAAGAATGTCAGAAAGAATGTCAGAAGATATGCCAGATAGAATGCAAAATAGAATGCCAGATAGAATGCCAGAAGATATGTCAGAATATATGCCAGAAGATATGCCAGATAGAATGCCAGATAATATGCCAGAAGATATGCCAGATAGAATGCCAGATAGAATGCCAGGAGATTTGCCAGATAGAATGCCAGAAAATATGCCAGAAGATATGCCAGATAGATATGTCAGAAGATATGCCAGAAGATATGCCAGAAGATATGCCAGAAGATATGTCAGACTATATGCCAGAAGATATGTCAGATAGAATGCCAGAAGATATGTCAGAATATATGCCAGAAGATATGCCAGATAGAATGCCAGAAGATATGTCAGATAGAGTGCCAGAAGATATGCCAGATAGAATGCCAGAAGATTTGCCAGATAGAATGCCGGAAGATATGCCAGAAGATATGCCAGATCATATGCCAGAAGATATGCCAGATAGAATGCCAGATTGAATGCCAGATAAAATGTCAGATAGAATGCCAGAAGATTTGCCAGTAAGAAAATGTATAAATGTCATGGTGGGGATCACACGAAGTAAAGTAATTTTCTAACCCCACCCAACTTAACTGTATATAATATATAATATATACATATACACTGGTGTATATATATATATAACTTACATACAACATAAGATGTTCTAGGTTTGCCTACTTCGTTCTGAAGCAAAGTTACCTCTGATAATCTCAGACGCCCAAGTGACCATCGTCAACCTTCATGGACCTCAAGTGGATGGGGGTTCAGCCAGAGGCCGCAGATTAGGGGCTAAGGTGACGCAGTTCACTTGGTTAACGTATGGGTTTTATTATAGGGGAAATAAGAAACTAGTTGAATGGCTTATACCAACTTATAACTAGGGGGCCCTTCCTGCACGAGCTTAATGGATTCTTAATTGGGTGGTTTTTTGCGGCAAGATGGAACCAGTTCGCTGCAGAATCACAGGTTTCACTGGTTGTCGTCGACCATGTGGACATTGCTCAATTCAGATTCCCTGCAAAAAGTCCTTCTTGGCTATGGTAGAACACCAACAGGCTCATTGTAAGCACTGAAAAATAATGTCTTGAGAGATATCCACTGATGTTTGGATAAAACAATCATAAACCACCCATTTGGGAATGGTTTTTACAACCTATTTCTGGTGATTTGGAGGATGGTAAACATGGCATTGTTTTACCCACAGTATTCTTTGGATAAAGATTGATTGTTTCGTGCTCACAAATCGATGTT